AACCCTAAACGCTAAACCCTAAACCCTAAACCCTAAACCCTAAACCCTAAACCCTAAACCCTTTTTCAAACCCGTGCACAAAGCTGGCTCTGGGCCTGCTTGCTGGAGCTGGGGGCATTGAGTTGACGAGCGGATCAGCCTTGAAAACTCTACAGTGGTACATGTATTCCCCCACCCCCCTTAAGCTTGCCTGCATTCACTCCCCCCCTTAAAAAAACCACCCCTAAACCCTAAACCCTAAACCCTAAACCCTAAACCCTAAACCCTAAACCCTAAACCCTAAACCCTAAACCCTAAACCCTAAACCCTAAACCCTAAACCCTAAACCCTAAACCCTTAAACCCTAAACCCTAAACCCTAAACCCTCAACCCTAAACCCTAAACCCTAAACCCTAAACCCTGAACCCTGAACCCTGAACCCTAAACCCTAAACCCTAAACCCCCTTCCTCGTGAAGTGCACCCCTAAGTGAGGCAAAGGAAGAACTTGGACGAGTTCAAACGCCGCGAGCAGCAGCTTGCGGAGGCTCCAGAGTCGGGGTTCGGAGATGTTAGGGTTTAGGGTTTAGGGTTTAGGGTTTAGGGTTTAGGGTTTAGGGTTTAGGGTTGGGAAGGGCCTACAATTGGGAAGTAGGGAATCAGGGTCCCTTAGAGGCAGCACAGGCAATCTGAGAGACCCTGGTTCTCTAATTCCCTACTAAGAATCTTGAAGGAGAGCCTCTTTCTTGTGGGGGCTTCTTCTGTCCAGCACTTGTCAGTATGACAGGGCCTGCAGCCTCGTACCCTATTCTTTTTTTTTTGGTTCGGGTGTAGGGTTTAGGGTTCAGGATTTCTGGTCTCGGATGCGCAGGCGTACCACAAGAACAAGCCGCTGTGCTTCAATGCCTGCTCTTACCAGAAGACGCATCCGGTGAAAGCCCAGAAGGGGCACAAGGTGTGGCCGGTTGTGTGTCTCGAATCTGGTCAGCTCTCGAAACCGTTGTCCCAAGAGAAGTTCTAAGACGGAGTCCTCTATGTAGGGTGTAGCAGGCAAAGCAGTGTGTGTAACTGAAGAGGCGGTGAAGGGCGGGTGCCTTTCACTTCTCAAGGGGCCTCTAACTCTAAGAAGAATAATAATAGTAGTAATAATGGTAATAATCTTAATAATATTAATAATAATAATAGTAGCAATAATAATAATAATAATAATAATCATAATAATAAAACTAATAATAATACATAAAAAAAAATAATAATCATAACAGTAAAAACCAGTGCTGGCCAGGACGCGGATGCCTGCTTGACGGTGCCCCTCGTGCTCGGAGTTGCTGATGGCGTATCGCAAATCGAGGACGGTCAGCTGCCACGGTCACCCTCGATCACCTCTCTGTCGTTGTTATTATTTTTATTTTATTATTATTATTATTATTATTGCGAAAGTCCTCTTCTGCTTATGGCTATTGCTACTCTGCTTCTTATAATTCTTATTTCTATTTTTTTGTTTTTTTTTTTCTCTCTCTCTCTCTCTCGATGTCGTTTGCGGCCGCTTTGTGTCGCTGATCGCGGGTCAGCGCGTCACACCCCGAGGACTTCGGTATAGATGCATCGATGCTTCCCAACGAGCTCCTTCAGGTCACTTTACGGAATGTTGCATAAAGCAGAGGCAAAGCACTTGTGGCAGCTTCATGGACATGTGGGTTTCCGAGTAAACAGATTCTTTCTACCTCGCCGCTGCGCGAGGTAGTGGAGCAGTTGGGCATGCACCAGCTTATCCCCGGGGCAAAGCTACCAGCTGCAGACACGTACCGTGGGCCCGTGTCCATGCTCCGGAGGGCCTTCGAAGCCACCGAGAGCTTGGGCTCTTTGACGGTAGTGTTGGCAGTGATGGACAACTCAACACGTATTCATGGCAAGCTGCACCCCATGATCGCAATCATCACCATAGGAGACTGCGAGCTCATCGTGCTGCGCCGGGTGAAGGGAGCCCGGCAGCCGCTTGAGATTGTGTGCCACACCGAGATGCAGAGAATCGATGGCCATGCCCAGACCCCTTTGCAGCTTGCTCGGGTGGATGCCCGGATTGATCCAAACTTTCACGAGGCGCTCACAATCGAGGTGATAGAGCGGGGCAGTGCCGTCCACTGCGTCTCTGCCTATGAGGGTGACATTGTCATCATGGGCAGTGACGGGGTGTTTGACAACCTCTACCTGGACGAAATCATGGAGTTGGCCAATGCCATGCTTCCTCCAGGCCAGGGACACTTCTCCGAAATTCAGATGAAAGCTCTGGCGCAGCAGATTGTGGAGGCCTGTCATGCCAAGACGCGGCCCGGCCCGATGGGGCAGTTGAGGGAAGCGCCGATCGGCCGGGGGGGCAAGAAGGATGACACCTCGTGCGTGGTCGCGGAGGTGGTGGAGTGGACGAAGGAACATGCCAAGGTCTGGTCGGCCGCGGACGACGGTTTCGGCTGGACGTCCATGATCAACAACTTCTTCCCGCTCAACCTGAACAGTTGCTGTGTGGCTTCCTATGAATCTGACGACGAGGTCGATTTTAGAAAACCAGCCAGCAGCAAGAGGCCTGCGGCGGCGAGCCATCTCAGCGATATGAACGGTGTTCAGAACCAGTACGGACAGCAAGCCAACGGCCACATGCCCAATTCTGTGCCAAGCTCAATGCAGAGTGCAGCGGCCAACTACCCTTACACACAAGCACCGAGTGTACCACAACAAATGTACCCACCCGATCAACAATCGCAACAGGCCAGGACGGCCGCCCAACAAATGCAGATGCAGATGCAGATGCAACAGCAGCAGCAACAGCAGCAACAGCAGCAACAACAGCAGCAGCAAATGCCGATGCAATATCCTTCCATGAATCCCTATTCAGCATATGCAAACCCATATTCTCAGCCAGCTCAGCATTCGATGCACCTCTGACGCATGCAGCTTAACTCACCCGACTCGATCTTCGCATCTGTTTCGGATATGGGTACTTCCCGAAATAGGGGTACCCTCAATACACGTCCCAAAATAGCATATAGGAACCCCCAAAAAAGGTTACCCCTATTTGCGTAAACCCCCCAAATATGCAGTCTTTGCTGCCTTTTTCAGGTATGCAAGTGGCCAGGCAGGCAGTGCTGGCCGCCGAGATGCACAAGTCATGCTTCTTTTTTACCCCTTGGCAAAGCCCTAGCACTGCAATTCATGCCCTTTCACCGGCTAGGTTATGGCTATGCCGGTGGAGGATATTCTGGCGCCGCCAATCCCCCTTATGGCCCGGATCTGAGACTCTCCGACACCGAAAGGTTAGAGTGCTGAAGCATCCATTGTGTCGCCTGAGGCAGCTACGGTGGCTGTGGTGGCTGTGGTGCCTACGGCCGCTATGGCTGACCTTCGGATTGGTTTCGTAGCCGCCTCAAAGCTTGTCAGGCGCAGCACGCCTTAGCTATCAGTCAAGGAACTTCTAGTGGCTCGCCAAGTTTGGGGCGGCACCTAGCATTGGACTCAACAGTGTAGTGTAGTCAGCTACAACCACTGCTGACTGTAAAATTCAATTTGTGCAAAGCCTGGAGTAAGCTCCCAAACGCGAGAAGCAGCCATGTCGTGCAGCTTCAGCTGCGCGAACAGAGGTGTGTTTCTTTTGGGGCCTTGTCCTCCAGCAGTTTCACTTTAGTGCAGCATCCCGATCATTCGAAAGGGCTGCGCAGACGAAAGAGTACTTGCGAAAGCGGTGCCTGGCAACTTGCCCTGCGATCCCGCACCTGAATTTGAGCCCAAATTAATACGGTTCCTAAAACACCAGCCCCTCAACCCGACTGCATTCTTCGTAGCAGGCGCCGGATTCCACAAGCCGGGCAGAACAAGGCAAGAGCCAACAGAAGGAGGGGGAGCAGGCACCGTGGCCCAGGGTTCAGGGCTTAGGTTTAGGGTTTAGGGTTTAGGGTTTAGGGTTTAGGGGTTTGGGTTTCAGAGCGCATGGATGCTGCATGTCATCGACGGCGCTGCCACACACTGACAACCACTTGCCAGGACTATCAAACCATCTCTGTTTGGGACTGGCCGTCCGACAACGATGGTCCAATTTGCACTGCGGCCGTGGGGACGCAGGACTGCGGTTCAGAGTTCCCATCCCAGGCCCAGCACTCTAAATCCTAAACCCTGAGCCCCAAGCACGAAAGCCCAAACCTTGGTCATAGTTGGGTAACATATTACATCTTTAAGGGCACTTAAACCCAATAAGGAATAAGCACTTAAATTTTGATATTATCCCAACCATGAACTAGTAGCCCCAACAGGACGTGCAGACTTGTGTGCTCTTCAATGCCTGGGACACGCACGAGATCGCCACCAACGGTCGGGGACCCGTGGGGTGGGCCTTGTCTGGACTCCCGAAACCCTAAACCCTAAACCCTAAACCCTTAAACCCTAAACCCTAAACCCTCAACCCTAAACCCTAAACCCTAAACCCTGAACCCTGAACCCTGAACCCTAAACCCTAAACCCTAAACCCTGAACCCTGAACCCTAAACCCTAAAACCCTAAGATTTCCCAAGGAAAGCGCAGGGTCTTCTTTTGGACCTGGGACGTCGAGCAGCCTTTCCAGGCCGGCGGGCCTTGGAGACTCCCCCGGCGGCCCCAGAAAAAGTGCTCGGTTTGGGGCTTAGGGTTTAGGGCTTAGGGTTTAGGGTTTAGGGTTTAGGGTTTAGGGTTAAGGGTTCAGGGTTTAGGGTTTAGGGTTTAGGGCCGGTCTAGGGTTTAGGGCTTACGGTTCAGGGTCCAGGGTTTAGGGTTTTGGGTTTAGGGTTTAGGGTGAGGGTCTCCTCGACCCTCAACCACTCAAGCCTCAACCCTGAACTCCCAAGAAGCTGTGAGCTCCCGAAGCTATAAGAGGCCTTCAAGCCTTCAAAACCCGAAAATAAGAAGCCTCACCTAAACAACCCTGCACGACCCCTCATAAACCCAAAAGCCCAAAAGATTGAACTCCAAAACCCAGAAACAAAACCCCAAAAACAAGCACACGCGCACGCACAGAGAGAGAGAGAGAGAGAGAAAGAGAGAGAGACACAGACAGACAGACAGGCAAGCAGGCAGACAGACGTACAGACAGACGCAGAGACACGTAGAGACACGCAGAGACACCACACAGAGAGAGACGCCTCACAAAGACACCTCACGGAGACACCACACAGAGAGAGACTCCACAAAGACACACAGACACACAGACACACAGGCACACAGCAAACAGGCACACACACACACACAGACACACAGACGCACAGACACACGGACACACAGACACACGGAGGCTAAGAGACACAGAGACACGGAGACACAGAGACACAGAGACACAGACGCACAGAGACACAGAGACACAGAGACATAGAGGCACGGAGGCACAGAGACGCAGTGACACAGAGGCGCAGAGACACAGAGACACATACACACAGGCACAGAGATGGAGTGACACAGAACACAGAGATACAGACACAAAGGGAGATCTAGACACGGAGATCCGCGCGCAGAGACCGAGGCACGCAGGCATGCAGGCACGCAGGCACGCAGCCACGGGGCCACGCAGCCACGCAGCCACGCAGCCACGCAGGCACGCAGGCACGCAGGCACACAGGCACTCAGCCATGCAGCCACGCAGCCACGTAGCCACGGGGCCACACAGACACGCAGCCACGCAGGCACGCAAACACGCAGCCACCCAGCCATGCAGGCACGCAGGCCCGCAGGCCCGCAGGCCCGCAGGCCCGCAGGCACGCAGGCACGCAGGCACGCAGGCACACAGGCACGCAGCCATGCAGCCACGCAGCCACGTAGCCACGGGGCCACACAGGCAGGCAGCCACGCAGGCACGCAGGCACGCAGGCACGCAGCCACGCAGCCACGCAGGCACGCAGGCACGCAGGCACGCAGGCACGCAGGCACGCAGGCACGCAGGCACGCAGGCACGCAGGCACGCAGGCACAGAGGCACAGAGGCACAGAGGCACAGAGGCACAGAGGCACAGAGGCACAGAGGCACAGAGGCACAGAGGCACAGAGGCACTGACACGGACACAGACACAGACCCAGACACAGAGACGGAGAGACACCAGACACAGACGCACGCAGACGCAGACACAGACCCAGACACAGACCCAGACGCAGATGCAGACGCAGATGCAGATGCAGACGCAGACACAGACGCAGACGTGCACGAGCACGTGCACGCCCACGCGCACGCCCATGCGCACACGAACACTATCACACAAAGACACAAACACAAACCTAACCTCTGCCAGTTCTACTCACCGGCTTTAGCGCCGCGGGACTTCAAGCAGCGGATTGGTGACTACACGCGCCCCGGAGGAATCATGTGTAAACTCTAAATCCTCAAGCCTTAACCCCAAAAAGCAATAAGTTCCGAGATGCCTTAGAAGCCGCCCCCCCGACAACAGGGGATCTAGGATTCCCTTGTTGGTGTGAAAGTGGAGGTTCAGTCCGTTTGTTCCTCTGTTGATTTTTGAGCATAGTTTTCTTTGGTGAACCCCTCACCCTTCGTGACATAAATTGATTGTACATGGTACCGAAGAGGTGCTATACGGTTGCCAGTGTGGCGGGTTTCGTATACGCAGGCCAGGATATCAGCAATGCTTCAAAGCCCGTAGCTTTCTTTTGGCGGGTATGGGAGGGTTCCCTAAACCCTAAACCCTAAACCCTAAACCCTAAACCCTAAAAACTAAAAACCCTAAACCCTAAACCCTAAACCCTAAACCCTAAACCCTAAGCCCTAAACCCTAAACCCTAAACCCTAAACCCTAAACCCTAAACCCTAAACCCTGAACCCTAAACCCCTAAACCCCTAAACCCCTAAACCCCTAAACCCAAAGTACTTGCAAGTGTACCTGTGGTCGAGCTGTCCTGCCCGCCGCGCAGTGCATGTTGAACCGGTGTTGCTGCTGTTGCTTGGAGGTTCAGGGTAATTATATACCCAAGAATCACTGTATTTATTACCCAATTATAACCATACTAGGGCAGTTAAGGGGCTTATAAGTGGGTTATAAGTACAGTTACAATTAGGCCTAAGCGCCCTAAACCCGAAACATGAATTCCCATTGGGTTATTGAGTAGCATGAACCTCCAAGTGGCAGTCTGTTGGCCAAGGCAGACCATTTTTCTGCCCGAGTCCACGCAGGCAGCTGAATATGGGGGTTTACGGAACTGAGGGACCCCAAATTACAGATCCCCAAAGAGTCGGATTTACTGATAATAAGGACCGAAAGACGGTAGGTACCCCTACTATCGGAAACCCCCATATGATCTCGGAATACTGCAGGCTGCGACTGGCACGATCGATGGTGATGTGGTCATTTGGGACCTGTCCCTGATTGCAGGGGCCTCACTGGCTTTACCACCTTGCTGCCATTGTACCATGCCAATTGATACACGTGATGTTGCTGTGCCGCATGAAGATTCGATTTCACGAGGTAGATGGCCTGAGCCGCCCCGATGAGAGACGGGCCGTCAAAATCATCAGGCTTTGTCCGGAGGTGTCTCTGAACGTTTGACACTCAAGCTCCTTGCGGCTGGCAGCGAGTCGGTGTTGTAGCCGTCCGCTCTCTGTGCTCTTGAAAGTCAGGTCTTACAAGTTCATGAGAAGGTCGTGGCCTCTGTTTAGGGTTTAGGGTTTAGGGTTTAGGGTCTAGGGTCAGTCCGATCAGGGCACCTCTCCTCGGGTATCCTGGCGCTGTGAGGCACGGGTGGTCATCGGCACTGCGGATGGAGCCGTCCGCTTCTATGACTACCAGTTCCGGGTCTTGTGCCTTAGTGCTGTGCCATCTCAGCTTCAAACAATGTGCCTTAAGACATGTTTCACAGATTTTCAATGCCTTTGCATGTCGATGCAGCGGCGTGGAGGGCTCGGCAAGGGCCTCATTTTCCTCCTGATCGGAGAGATCCGGTGAAACATGCCATGATGCCATGGAAGCTGCTGCCATCCATGGGTGCAACCAGCGGGCGCCTTGCGTGGAGTTCCGCCACGAGGCGCTGAGCAAGCCTCTGAGGCTGGAGCAGAGGGGGGCCACGTCGGGAGACTTTGTTCAGGGGACCTCCTCGGTCATCTGGCCGGCTGCAAGTCGCTTGGCTGAGTACCTCTGCGACCACTCCGCCGAGCTGCTGAAGGACTTAGGGGACTGTGTAGGTAAACCTTTAACCATCATGGTGATATCTAGATTCCTACTACATAGACAGGGTTAAGCCTTTCCTGGGCTAGGCTATTCAAGCCCCTCAGAGGAGCGGAGCGTCCTGGAGCTCGGGGCGGGTCTTGGCTTGGTGGGCGCGGCCTGCGCCGCGGTGGGGGCGTCGGTGCTCGTCACGGACTGTGAGAGGGCCGTGCCTCTTCTGCAGCGGAACCAAGCACTCCTGGCAGAGGACCGAACTCGGTGAGATCCGGCCCTCGCGCTTGCGCTCTCTCTCTCTCTTTTTTTTTTTTTTTTCTCATCTCTTGCTCGCTTGCCACGCAAATACCGCTTCTGCTCAGAGCTGGCCAAAGTGACATCGCAGGACTCCATTGTCCTGGACGTCTGCAGGCTCGGCTGGCCGTGATGAACCCTCGAAGCCTTCCACCCCTTTAAGCCCCTCAAACCCTAAGGCCTTCAACCCTTGTTAAGCCTTTAAACCCTTGACCCTTAAACTTAAAGCCTCAAGCCTCAAACCACTTAAGCTACCCCTGAAACCCGTAAACCCTGGAACCCTAAAGTAACCATCAAACTCATTATGCGCTTGAACCCTTGAAGCCTTGAAAAGCATCGCGTTTAACAGAGTGCAGCGGCTGTGAAGGTTGGAGTGGGGGCTGGCTGAGGACCACGCGAGGATCCTGGAAGGCCCTGTTTAGGGTTTAGGGTTTGGGAACCCAAAACCCAGAACCCTATACCCTAAACCCTAAACTAAACCCTAAGCCCTGAACCCTAAACCTTGAACCCTAAACTTAGGGTTCAGCCCCTTTGGCACCTGACGCGCCGGCTGCTTTTGTTATTGCAGGCCATCCGCAGGGCTTTGACCTCATCGTGGGAAGTGACATCATCCTGTCATCCTTCGACCTGGACTTTTGCTGGGCACTTCAAAGGGCCCCCAAGCCCTAAACCCTAGACCCTAAACCCTCAACCCCAAACCCGAAACCCGAAACCCGAAACCCGAAACCGTTTGGGAGCTCTGTTGGCGTGTTCTGGGTAGAGGACAAGCTTTTCGAGAGCTGCCAAGTGCTTCTGGCTCGCTCGCGGGGTTCGAGGCAGTGTGCGAAACAGGGTGGTGTGCAGCAGTACCACAGAGAATCCTCAACAAAAACCTCAAACCCCAAACTCCACAGCCCCGAGCCCCAAGCCCTCTAAGGCCTAAACCCTAAACCCTAAACCTTAAACCCCTAAACCCCTAAACCTTAAACCCCTAACCCTAAACCCTAAACCCTATGTTCAGTCCCCGTGCCCCCCCCCCCCCCCCCCTCCCGGTGCCCCCGCCCCACCGTTGCCCACGCGAGCCTAACCCTAAAACCCTAAACCCTAAACCCTAAACCCTAACCCTAAACCCTAAAACCCTAAACCCTAAACCCTAAACCCTAAACCCTAAACCCTAAACCTAAACCCGAACCCCAAACCCTAACGTTTAGTCCCCCCCCGCCCCACCCTTGCCCACGCGAGCCCTTAAGCCTGAACCCTTCTCCCTTAAACCCTAAACCCTAAACCCTAAACCCTAAACCCTAAACCCTAAACCCTAAACCCTAAACCCCTAAACCCTAAACCCTAAACCCTAAACCCTAAACCCTAAACCCTAAACCCTAAACCCTAAACCCTAAACCCTAAACCCTAAACCCTAAACCCTAGCCCTTCAGGCTGCTCTTGGCCTTTGAGTTTCGGGAAGACTGGGAGTCCATCGGGAACTTCATCGGATGGGCCGAAGAGGCGCCCGCCGTTCGGGTTTAGGGTTTAGGGTTTCGGGTTTAGGGTTTAGGGTTTAGGGTTTCGGGTTGAGGGTTGAGGGTTTAACGTTTAGGGTTCGGATTGAGGGTGTGCTTGGGAGCCCTAGAAGGTGAGTCCTCTTGCCCTGCATACCTGGAGCAGTCCCCCTACGTAGCCTACAAAGAGCCCACAAGAGCCCACAGCAGGTTTTGAGGAGCCCCATAAAGAGAGTCGGGTGCTGGAGCTGTGGGGGGGGGGGGAAGTGAATGTGGATGTCGTTTGCAAGAAATCTCCCTGTTTCAGAGAGGTCAATCGGGATCCTTTGGGTTTGGGCCCGGTAGCTCTGACTCTATATATAATATATAATATATGATATATTACATATTATATATTATATATTCTCATCTTTGCCACCAGAGGGGTCTTTCTTTGTGACGCGAGGCAGCATATTCTTCAGATCCACGACCCAAGTCAAGTCTTGCTCCCAAACCCGAAGCCCATTTCGAGCCCAACTTCTCCCAAACTTTTCAGCCATTCCGTCCTGTTCACGTCAGCAGGCGTCAGTTCGTTCACACCGACGTCCGAGCTCAGATCTAGAGTGCCGTAAGAACTAGAGTTGAGTGTCGGGGATCTATAGGAGGGAGTGGGTGTCTAAGTGACATCAACCCCAAACCCTAAACCCCAAACCCCAAACCCTAAACCCTAAACCCTAAACCCTAAACCCTAAACCCTAAACCCTAAAAGGGATCCCCAGAGGGGCCTCCACTCCCTAAGCACCCAAGGCATACCCAGGCATTCGGTCGCTTTTGTGCCTCGCTTCGCGAGGCTGGCATGGAGGTCTGCCACGAGGAGCTGGGAGGCGCCTGCGGGTTTGGGGGTTTGGGGTTTGGGGTTTGGGGTTTGGGGTTTCGGGTTTAGGGTTTAGGGTTTGGGGCTTAGGGGTTTGGAGTTTAGGGTTTGGGGTTTGGGGTTTAGGGGTTTAGGGGGTTTAGGGGTTTAGGGGTTTAGGGTTTAGGGTTTAGGGTTTAAGGTTGAGGTTCCATGCGGTTTTGAGTTCTTCTGACTTTCGCCCTGCCCAGATCCCGATGATGAGATCTACCTCTACACTTTCCGCTGGAAGGATGCCCCCTGATGCCTCCAGACCTTTGTGCATTCGCGCAGCACAGCATCCGCAGCCTCGGAGAAGCTGTGTCGTGCTCAAGGGAGCCTCAAAGGTTCCGACGACTCTGTGGCGACTCAAAAGAATTCCCGCGCCCCCCCCAAGGAGTCGGCGAGTGCCGCAGCGCTGATGTCGTGGCCGCATCACGTTGCGACACGTGGGGCCATGTGGTGCCATCCGCCCTCCTCCTCAAGAGACGTGCTCACTTCGAAGCGGACCTCTGTGGACAAAAGGCCTTTGCTGTTGAGCAGGGGCTTCTTCGTGCGCATAGGAGCTACTCTGGGACTGCCGCTGCTGCTCCAGATGTTTGCTGACACAAATGTCCCCGAGGTCCAAGCATGGTTCGAAGACCTCTTGGCGGGGTCGGTGAAGTCCATCTCCTTTGAGAGAGCCAATGAGGATGGAGAGGAGCCTGGTGGGTTCCAACCGCCCACACATCCCTAACGTCAAAACCCCAAACAGCCTAAACCCTGCAATTACGGCGTTCGGTGCTCCACCGCTGCAGGACTACGAGCCCACGGGAATCAGCGCCGGCGTGGGCGTAGAGGACACCGCATACTGTGGGAGCTGCGAGTGGCTAAGGGTACTTTGGGCCATTGTCGTGTTGGTGGTAGGAAGAGCAGTGGCAGTTGGAGTAGGAGTTGTAGTAGAGGCAGTAGGAAGAGGCTGCTGGGAGGAGGAGTAGTGGGTCGTAGCAGAGGGAGCAGGAAGAGGCTGAGGAGGAGGAGGAGGAGCAGGAGGAGGAGCAATAGTTTTTTGTTTTTCTTGCCTGCCAGGACGACTTCAAGTGCCCCAACTTTCTGGTGAGCACAGGCAGCGAAGAAAGATCACCCCCGAGCCCTACGCCGCACGCCCTTAACCCGCACGCCCTTAACCTAAGACCCGAAACCCGCAACCCACCCCTAATATGGCAACCCTATACCCTGAACCCTGAACCCTAAACCCTAAACCCTAAACCCTAAACCCTGAACCCTGAACCCTAAACCCTAAACCCTAAACCCCTAAGCTGGGAGCAGGCTCGGCCTTAGTGGTGCTGGTGGAGTCGAAGTTGTTCTACGAGCTCTCTCCGGACTTCAGGGGTTTGGGGTTTGGGGTTTAGGGTTTAGGGGTCAGGGGTTTCGGGTTTAGGGTTTAGGGTTTTAAGGTTTCGATTTTTGGGTGTCGGGTTGACGGTGTGTGATGGAGACTTGGCGGGGGTTGCTGGCTCAGGGGTAATCATTAGTTGTGAGGGTTCGGAAGTTTGGGGCTTGTCCCCGAGAGCCAGGAGCTGGAACTAAAACCTGAACCCTAAACACCAAACCCTAAACCCCAAACCCTAAACCCGAAACCCCAAACCCTCTTCAGGAGAACCGGAGAGGCAGATTAGTTCTGCAAGGCTTAGACTCGCCTGCCGGGACCTTGGACTGCAACGCTGCCAGTGAATGCTTGGGAAGTTGTGTGGTCCGTCAATATGGGCCCCTTGATTGGGGAGCCCTTCAGATACCCTTTATAGACCCTATAAAACTCAAGGGCCCACACTTCAGAAGCAATTTTTCAGGAAGGTAAGGGACCATGTCAGGGGACCATGTAACCTCCCTTAGAGTGAAGCCTGCGGCATGTGTGACCCTGTGAGGTGCATGGGCTTTCCTGCCACCCTCAACTGCCGCTGGTAGCTGTTTGTGGTGCGCGCCGGAGGGACGGTCGCATCGCCGCACCGGCAACTGCGTCTTCGCGCCCTGTCTCAGGCTATTCAGGCTTCCTCCATATGTGGAACTACAACACCAGGCCAGTTCCTCTGTGTTTCCTGGAGAGGCTCCTGAAGATTTCGATGCAAGGTCTCTGCACCTGGTGAAGATCTTCGAAAAGCTCGTCCCGCATATGTGCGCCTTCAATCCTATGTCTTTCGTAAGCCCTAAACCCTAAACCCTAAACCCCAACCCTAAACCCTAAACCCTAAGTGCTAAACCCTAAACCCTAAACCCTAAGCCCTAAACCCTAAACCCTAAACCCCAAACCCCAAACCCCACACCCTAAACCCTGAACCCTGAACCCTAAACCCTAAACCCCAAACCCCAAACCCCAAACCCCAAACCCTCATGGCCGCAGACTCCAATTCTCCCCGGACGGGAAGCTGCTGGCCGTGGGCTTCACCAACGGCCACTGCAAGCTCCAGTCTCAGAATTCTCCTCAGGGTTCAGGGTTCAGGGTTTAGGGTTTAGGGTTTAGGGTTTAGAAGTCCCCCAAATGACCCGAAGGAACCCAGAATTCTCTTGAAGTCCCCCGAAAAAACGCAAAGGAGGGTTGTGGGGGTCAGGCTGAAGGTTGAGGGTTTGAGGTTTCGTGTTGGCGAGGTATTTTGGAGGTGCCCGGCCTCTGCGTTCCCATGCTCCTGCGTTTGCTTTTGCTCAAGGGCTGACCGGGCGCCTGGTCGTTATACATTTTTCGGGTGGAGTGGAGGGTTCGCCACACCATCGCAGTAGGCACAACAGCTGGGGGCACCCGAGAAGGACCCAGGATCAAGATATCGCAAAAAGGCACAGACGTGAGCGCTGAAGCCATGGGGCAATCGTGCTGTTTTGGAAGGGAGAAGGAACTGGACTTTGCATCGTGCTCAAAGTTTGCCGTGACGCCGAATACTTGTGCCATAGCCTGCAGAAGAACCGGTGCACTCATAAGTCACAAGTCGCAAGTCTCGGGTTCGATGGAGAGTCGCGCTAGAAACTCTAAGTTCCGGCTCAGGTGAGCAGTCGCACGACTTCGACGCCGAGAGCCAGGGCTTCGAGTTGGTGGTTGAGACGGAGCTGCTGGCCACCGACGCGCTGGGCAACGGCGACGAAGCGGCTCTCAAGCAGACCCAGTCGGGTGGGACGGTGACCCGCACCTGGGAGGAGCGCATGTGTTGCTGTCATGTCAGATGTAGAGTCTTTATCTAACCCGGCCCCCCCCCCCTATCTCCCCTGCATGTTGAGAGGAGTTCCAAGGCATGCAGCAGATGCAGCAGGTCACGACCTTTGGCCGCCGGTCCCGACCCACTGCCCTTTCCACGTCCCCGGAGCGCCGTGAGAGCCGACAGTACTTGGCATCGATCCATCCCGACCGGAAGCGACGGTCGGAAGGCTCGGGGCTGGGGTTCGGCCAAGTAACGCAGCAGTTTTTTGACGTTTTTGCTCAGCCGTCTCCATGTCCATGGTCATATGTCTTCTTTGATTTGTTTTTGTCATATTTTGGGCTTTCCTTAGCTGTTCTTTCCCATAACAATGAGACACGAAGCTTTGAAGCATCATGAAACCCTCACAGTCCCTAAATGTCCCTGACAGTGATCCTTTGAACCAAGGGTGTTTGTACGTCCTTGATTTTTGGACTGTTTGGAGAAGCTTCCCATATCCTCCCGCCCTTGCAGGCCCCCCTGCGCTGGCTGGCGCGTGACATCCGCAAGTGCAAGCCGCCTCTGCATTCGGGAATCTCCAAGAAAGTAGCGTGGCTGACGTTCCTCTCAGTTTCCTCGGCGCTGTTGGCGACGGTCCCGGCCGTGTTTTTATGGATGCGCCGGGGTCGCGCGGGCTGTGTCCGCAAAGTGTTTCAATGACGAGGCTGGCTGTACACCTCTGCAACAGTTCACTGGACTTGTTCTCCGCTGGCCAACGTGTGGGTCAGCCTTCTCTTCCCAAACAGGGAAACTTTCCAAATGTCTCATCTACTGTGAAGCCGGACCTTTGAAGATCAGGCTGAAAAAAGATGCTGGTTTAGCCTGTGGCATGAACAAAAACGGTGATGATGGCAGCTTCTGATTGAGGGATGAAAGAGGGTTTGGGGCAGAGATGTTTAAAGCTTGTGGTCTTTGCGTTTGCATTTATGGGTCTAGGGTCTTTCGGGGGTGCGGTAGATGTTCAACCTCTGGCGTTCAAGAAGTGTCGCATCTCTTGCAATGGGCAAATTGTACACATCTCCGCCATGAGTCCAAGCAACTACTTGGTGCTGATTTTTGTATGGAGTCGTAGGACCATAAAACAAAGGTTGTGAGGGACTGCACATGGCAATGTTGTACTCTCGTCTCATGCTCCTGCGTTTGCTTTTGCTCAAGGGCTGACCGGGCGCCTGGTCGTTATACATTTTTCGGGTGGAGTGGAGGGTTCGCCACACCATCGCAGTAGGCACAACAGCTGGGGGCACCCGAGAAGGACCCAGGATCAAGATATCGCAAAAAGGCACAGACGTGAGCGCTGAAGCCATGGGGCAATCGTGCTGTTTTGGAAGGGAGAAGGAACTGGACTTTGCATCGTGCTCAAAGTTTGCCGTGACGCCGAATACTTGTGCCATAGCCTGCAGAAGAACCGGTGCACTCATAAGTCACAAGTCGCAAGTCTCGGGTTCGATGGAGAGTCGCGCTAGAAACTCTAAGTTCCGGCTCAGGTGAGCAGTCGCACGACTTCGACGCCGAGAGCCAGGGCTTCGAGTTGGTGGTTGAGACGGAGCTGCTGGCCACCGACGCGCTGGGCAACGGCGACGAAGCGGCTCTCAAGCAGACCCAGTCGGGTGGGACGGTGACCCGCACCTGGGAGGAGCGCATGTGTTGCTGTCATGTCAGATGTAGAGTCTTTATCTAACCCGGCCCCCCCCCCCCCTATCTCCCCTGCATGTTGAGAGGAGTTCCAAGGCATGCAGCAGATGCAGCAGGCCACGACCTTTGGCCGCCGGTCCCGACCCACTGCCCTTTCCACGTCCCCGGAGCGCCGTGAGAACCGACAGTACTTGGCATCGATCCATCCCGACCGGAAGCGACGGTCGGAAGGCTCGGGGCTGGGGTTCGGCCAAGTAACGCAGCAGTTTTTTGACGTTTTTGATCAGCCGTCTCCATGTCCATGGTCATATGTCTTCTTTGATTTGTTTTTGTCATATTTTGGGCTTTCCTTAGCTGTTCTTTCCCATAACAATGAGACACGAAGCTTTGAAGCATCATGAAACCCTCACAGTCCCTAAATGTCCCTGACAGTGATCCTTTGAACCAAGGGTGTTTGTACGTCCTTGATTTTTGGACTGTTTGGAGAAGCTTCCCATATCCTCCCGCCCTTGCAGGCCCCCCTGCGCTGGCTGGCGCGTGACATCCGCAAGTGCAAGCCGCCTCTGCATTCGGGAATCTCCAAGAAAGTAGCGTGGCTGACGTTCCTCTCAGTTTCCTCGGCGCTGTTGGCGACGGTCCCGGCCGTGTTTCTATGGATGCGCCGGGGTCGCGCGGGCTGTGTCCGCAAAGTGTTTCAATGACGAGGCTGGCTGTACACCTCTGCAACAGTTCACTGGACTTGTTCTCCGCTGGCCAACGTGTGGGTCAGCCTTCTCTTCCCAAACAGGGAAACTTTCCAAATGTCTCATCTACTGTGAAGCCGGACCTTTGAAGATCAGGCTGAAAAAAGATGCTGGTTTAGCCTGTGGCATGAACAAAAACGGTGATGATGGCAGCTTCTGATTGAGGGATGAAAGAGGGTTTGGGGCAGAGATGTTTAAAGCTTGTGGTCTTTGCGTTTGCATTTATGGGTCTAGGGTCTTTCGGGGGTGCGGTAGATGTTCAACCTCTGGCGTTCAAGAAGTGTCGCATCTCTTGCAATGGGCAAATTGTACACATCTCCGCCATGAGTCCAAGCAACTACTTGGTGCTGATTTTTGTATGGAGTCGTAGGACCATAAAACAAAGGTTGTGAGGGACTGCACGTGGCAATGTTGTACTCTCGTCTGCGAAGCTCCCGTTCCAGCAAACCCGCCGATCCCTTGAACCCGAGCTCTGAACTTGAAGACCTCAGGGCCTAATGCTGCAAAATGCCCCTTAACACCCTGAAACACTCCAACCCCCCTGAGCCCCAAGCCCCTAAGGCCCCAAGGCCATAAAGCCCAAGAAGGGGTTTAGGGTTTAGGGTTTAGGGTTTAGGGTTTTAAAGCAAGAGCGCCCCCAAAAGCTTCCGCAGCCCCTACACCCTAAACCCTAAGCCTTAAACCCTAAACCCTGAACCCTTTACCTAAACCCTAAACCCTCGACCCTAAACCCTGAACAGAAAGCTTGAGGCTTCTGAAGTCCACGGACCTCTCAGAGGTGGTTTCCTTCAGAGACTCACGCGACTGCGTTACGCACATCGCCCGTCGGCCAAGAGGGTTCGGGGTTTAGAGTTTAGGGTTTAGGAGGGTTTAGGGTTTAGGGTTTAGGGTTTAGGGTTTACGGTTTAGGGTTTAGGGTTTTTTGGCGGATTTAAATCGGCATCAATCCACTTTCCCTCAACCCTCAAACCCTCAAACCCTCAAACCCTCAAACCCTCAAACCCTCAAACCCTCAAACCCTCAAACCCTCAAACCCTCAAACCCTGCAACCCTCAAACCCTCAAACCCTCAAACCCTGCAACCCTAAAACCCTGAAACCTAAGCCCAAAAGGCCAAGGGCCCAAGGGCCCAAGGGCCCATACTTGGGGACCCAGATGGCAAAACCCGGAACTTGGAGCCCGAGCCCTGAAATTAAGCCGAAGCAGCCCAAAGCCCTAAACCCTAAGCCCTAAGCCCTAAACCCTAAACCCTAAACCCTAAACCCTAAACCCTAAACCCTAAACCCTAAACCCTAAATTGCCCTAAACCTCTCCCCTTAAAACCCGAAAGCCCTTGAAACCCCTGAACCCCAAACACCCCCAAAAACGCTGCTGGCTCGAGCAACCTTAAACCTAACACCCTAAACCCCCAAAATCCTAACACTTTAAAACCCTAAAACCCTAGAACCCCAAACCCAGAAAACCCGAAAACCCTAACACCCTAAGAAGAAGATGCTGAATCGAGGCCTTCAGCTCAGACTCCCTAACCCCTAAATCCCAAAAACCGTAAAACCCCTAAGCCCCAGACACTGCTGGCTCAGCAACCCTAAACCCTAAGCCCTAAGCCCGAAACCCTAAACCCTAGAACCCTAAACCCTAAACCCTAAACCCTAAACCCTAAACCCTAAACCCCCAAAGCCTCAAAACCCTAAAGCCACTCGAGCAACCCTAAACCTAACGCCCTAAAACCCCAAAACCCTAAGACCCTAAAACCCTAGAACCCTAAACCCTAAACCCTAAACCCTAAACTCCAAACCCTAAAACCCTAGACGAGGCCTTCAGCTCAGACTCCTGCCACCTTGCCTTGGCGCACGCGGATCGCTCGCTGTGCAGGGGGGCCCGTGGACACTTTTTGGGAGCAGCGGGTTTCGGGTATAGGGGGCAGTTTAGGGCGTAGGGTAAAAGGGTTTGGGGTTGAGGGTTTAGGGCAGTTTTGGGCTTAGGGTTTAGGGCAGTTGAGGGTTTGGGGTTTAGGGTTGAGGGTTTCGGGTTCCGGGTTTAGGGCAGTCTAGGGTTGAGGGTTTAGGGCAGTTTAGGGTTAAGGGTTCAGGGCAGTTTAGGGTTCAGGGCAGCTTTTAAGGGTTGAAGGACCGAACCGGCAGCCCCATGTGAGCTTCGGGGGGCCCTTAAGGGGGGCGCCCAAAGCTCTACCGCCGAGGTCTGTACCGGTTTTCGCATCGTCCAAACGACAAGAATTTTCCCAAGGTCGGAGCCCAAGAATGCTCAGCTGTACAGGGTTTAGGGTTTAGGGTTTAGGGTTGAGGGTTTAGGGTTTAGGGTTCAGAAGGGTTCAGGGTTGAGGGTTCAGGGTGCTGTTCTTAACCTGGGCTCCCATAAATCACGGCTTCGGGTTTGGGATGGAAGCTGTGCATTCCCTTGTTTCTTTTTTTTCTTCTGGGGGGGGGGGGGGGGTGAGGGGGGGTTGGGGTGTTGGGGGGGTTGGAGGGATTGGGCCCAGTTCGGACGGACACTTAGACCCCTCAATGAAATGAACCCTGAAGCCCTTAAGACCTGGGTTCAGCCTGTCCCACAAGGGTCCCTGAGTTCAACCGATTTCTAACATCATAGCTCGGATCCAAGCACCTGAATCTCAGAACCAGATCTTGGATGCAAACACAGCTCCAGGGTTTTTTCTCGAAGCCCTAAACCCCAAACCCCAAACCCTAAACCTTAAACCCTAAACCCCAAACCCTAAACCCTAAACCCTAAACCCCAAACCCTGATCTCTAAACCCTAAACCCTAAACCCTGAAAGAAAATCTGAGGGCCTTGGGCCTGCTCGATAGCTTTGCCCCAGGAGTGGATGTATTCAGCGAAGCACAAGTCCGGCTCTCGTGGCTCTGTGCCCTTAATGGGGTTTGGGGTTTAGGGTTTAGGGTGTAGGGTTTAGGGTTTAGGGTTGAGGGTTTAGGGTTTAGGGTTTAGGGTTGCAGGTTCAGGGCTTAGGGTTGCAGGCTTAGGGTTTAGGGTTTAGGATTTAGGGTTTAGGGTTTAGGGTTCAGAGTTTAGGGTTCAGGGTTTGGCGGGATAGGTCCATGGTTGAGTCTGGAGAGTCCTGAGACCCTAAACCCTGAACCTCTCAATTGAGGGGGTTTGGGGTTTAGGGTTTAGGGAATTGGTGTTCAGGCTTGAAAGTTCCGGGCTCATAGTTCCGACTTTCGGGTGGCGATTGAGACTTCCCCAATGCAGGAATGTCGCCCACACGATGACCAGGGTGTGAGGGTTCAGGTTTAGGGTTTCGGATTTAATTAGGGTTTTGGGGTGATCCTGAGATTACAACGCTTAGGATCGCCCTAAACCCTGAACCCTACACCCTAAACCCTAAACCCTAAACCCTAAGCCCTAAACCCTAAACCCTAAACCCTAAACCCTAAACCCCAAACCCTAAACCCTAAACCCTAAACCCTTTGAGAGTCCCTAGGCCTCTCCCCCTCTCCCTCCGCACCTCTCTTGAGGTCCCATTGGCGCCCCATCGTGGGCCTGTGCTTCTCCAGCTCCGAGTCGGAGAAGCTGAGGCCGGGTTTAGGGTTTAGGGTTTAGGGTTGAGGGTTGAGGGTTGAGGGTTTAGGGTTGAGGGTTTAGGGTTTCGGGTCTTGGATTTAGGGTTTAGGGTTTCGGGGGTTGGGAGTCTGCGCAAGCCACTCAGCGTTGGGACGACTTAGTAGCCGGTGTGCGCAGGCTCTTCTCCGTGGGTGAGGTGGGCTATGCACCTGCAGTCTGTTGCTTTTTTGCCGGCGTTGGTGGGTGTGTGTGTGTGTGTGTGTGTGTGTGTGTGTGTGTGTGTGTGTGTGTGTGTGTGTGTGTGTGTGTGTGTGTGTGTGTGTGTGTGTGTGTGTGTGTGTGTGTGTGTGTGTGTCTGTGGGGGTGGTCCTGCTTGTAAGGACTAGACAGCCTCCAAACCCCACATAGACCCTATAAAACCCTATAAGACCCTATGAAACCCTATAAAACCCTTTAAAACCCCACATAGACCCCATAAAACCCCGACAAGCCCCGATGAACCCTCCAAAAACCCTGTAAGGCCTCGAGCGCACAGAGCCTGAAGGGGGGGGGGGCTCCGGGGCCCGAAGCCCTAAACTCCAATCCCGAAACCCAAAACCCGAAACCCGAAAAAACTAAACCTCAAACCTCAAACCCTAAACCCTAAATCCTCAACCCTAAACCCTAAACCCCAAATCCTAAACCCTAAACCCTAAATCCTAAACCCTCAGCCGTTTGCTTTTTGGTGCGGTCGAAGCTGCGCCCCCCGCCGTTTCGCAGCGCAAACTGTCCCTGGGATCGGGTCCGCACTGAGCCCCTGAGCCATGCTTCCTGGCAGCAGCTGTGTACACATCTGTGTCTATGCAAGGAAATGCATGCGTGAATTGGTTATGCACAAGCACCTTATATATATATGTAATATGTATATACATGTATATGTTAACACACACACACACATGTGTGTGTGTAGTAAAGGAATGTGTATGTGTATGTGCCAGCTTCGGTGTATGCTCAGATGTAGGTAGGTTGCGTGTCGAGGCTATTGCATATTGCTGGCACTGGCGGGGTCGTTCTCGTTCCTTCTGGCTTTGTTGTTTTGAATCTTCTCCTCTTGGCGGTCATTCCAGAACCTGTCCAGGGTTTAAAGTTTAGGGTTTAGGGTTTCGGGTTTAGGGTTTAGGGTTAAACCCTGATCCAGCATGGTTACCATAGCTTTTTTGTTAAGTGCCGAGGAGAGCATCCGACGCTTCCAATCGTCACAAGGACCAGCTTTCTGACTTTGTGAGAGGTCGTGTACTTTGATTTCATCATGTGCTGCATGCGGCTCCAGCCACCGAAACTGAAATCTAAACCCTAAACCCTACCCTAGACCCTACAAGCCCCGAACCCTAAACCCGACAAACCTTAAACCCTACAAACCCTAAACTGCATACCTGGAGGTCGTAATTGTGGGGCCACCTGAAGCTGGGAAGTCCGAGGCTAAGAGGAAGGAAGCCCCCTTTCTTCGCTTGCAATGCGTGTGGCGATGTTAACTGAGCTTCATTCGGCATTGGGTACTATTTGGGTGCTTCTGGTTTCGGCCTGGAGATCAGGTCCATCATAGCAAACATCATCGCAGAGGCCGCAGAGACGGCTTCAGAGGCAGGACAACTGCTGTGCGCTGTGACCTCGCGGCATGTTTGGTCCTGAGCGGGCTACTGCAATGCCATGGAGAGGGAGAGTAAACCCTAAACCCTAAACCCTAAACCCTCAACCCTCAACCCTCAACCCTCAACCCTCAACCCTAAACCCTAAATCCTAAACCCTAAACTAAGCCCTAAACCCTAACATCTCTTGCCCCTCAGCAGCTTTCGCAGCTCAAGTGGCTTAAGAAATGTCTGTGGAGTACAGCCGTGCCCCCCTCAGCCGAGCACACAGCAAGCGGAGCTTCACAAGCGCAGGCAGAACCGGCCATTTTCCCAAAATAGGGGGTACCCCGTACATACTCCATAAGATCACCCCCAATAGGGTACGCTTATTTTCGGAAACCCCCAACTGTAGCTTGCGGAGCCGGATGGCCTCGCAAGACAACAAGGACAACTACCGAGGCGTGAACTTCTTCAGCAATCGCTCCGTAGTTTTGGGTTTAGGGTTGAGGGTTTGCCATGGAGATGTTGGTCAGGAAGTAGGGACATCCCCCCTAGATCCCACAAAAAAGGTCTTGGGTTTAAAGCCCTAAGCCTTGAGCCAAAAAAACCCTAAACCCTAAACCCTAAACCGACTTCCCTTGTAAGCCATGCAGAGGCATTTTCGACGGCGGCCTCGGCTTTGGACAGAAGGCGGCCCTTATCATCATTGACTTCACCAAGGCACACTAAGTGGGGCATCTTCTTTTTTGATAATAACGGAGAATATGTATAATGTAATGTATTATATCAGGATATTTTACATATATATATATATATATATATATATATATATGTATGTATGGAATGCTTTAGATTGTGCTATAGATTGTGCACAGAAATACACTCCAGGAAAGTTGCTCAAGCAGCTCTTAACGAGGCCTACATCACACCAGGGAGTTCCTGGTACTGCCCTGGCAGCGGCTACGGCGTGGTGGACGCTGTTGCGGAGTCGCGGCCCCTGGTGGAGCTCGCCCGGGGTAAGGGCGTCCCGATTTTCTACACCAAGGTGTACTTCGAGCACCCGACTGATGGTGGGATCTTCACACAGAAGATCCCGAAGCTGCGCACGTGGAGAAAGGACAATCCACTGGTCGAGATCGACGACGGACTCGCACCTCATCCGGGAGATGCCGTCTTGGTGAAGCAGTATCCCTCTGCCTTCTTCGGCACGAACCTGGCGTGCAATCTTCGTGCCATCGGCGTCGACACTTGCATCATGATCGGGTGCTCCACCAGCGGCTGCATCCGGGCCTCAGTCCTGGATGGCATGCAGCACGGCTTCCGCTGCGTTGTGCCGCGGGAGTGCGTGGGAGACCGCACGCAAAGCATCCACGAGTCCAACCTCTTCGACATCAACGCAAAGAACGGTGATGCCCGGCACTCACTTGCGACTTCTTGATGACCTCCTTGTTTTGCATGTGCTTCCGCATAGATTCTGATGTGAAGGTCGTATCGAAGCAAAGTGTCATGGACTACTTGATGCAGCTGGAGGCTCCATTCCTGGTCCTGGAACGATAAACCCTCAATCCTTCAACTCCCTAAGCCCCAAGTGAGCCTGACCCCAGCTTAACCCTGAAACCCACTAGGTCACTAGGTTCAGACAGAAGGGACTGGGAACCCTTCTAGACCCTAGACCCTAAACCCTAAACCCTAAACCCTAAACCCTAAACCCTGAACCCTGAACCCTTAACCCCGAACCCTGAACCCCGAACCCTGAACCCCAACCCTAAACCCTAAACCCTAAACCCTAAACCCTAAACCCTAAACCCTAAACCCTAAACCCTAAACCCTAAACCCTAAACCCTAAACCCTAAACCTGCAGGGCTCCAGGACGTCGGAGGCCGCCGCGAAACGTCCGAAGCACTCGGATGCCAAGCTGGAGCCCTGTGCTAAAGACTGGAAGGCCTGCCCAGCTTCTTCTTAGGGCTTAGGGCTTAGGGTTTGGGTTGAGGTTTAGGGTTTTGGGGTTTAGGGTTTAGGGTTGAGGCTTGAGGGTTTAGGGTTTAGGGTTTGGGGATTGGGGTTTGGGGTTTGGGGTTTAGGGACCCTTAATAGAGACCACCCCCCCCCGACTTTTATAAGAAGAACCCCAAGAAGGTGCCCCCTAATTTCGGAAACCCCCTCTTAACTCTCAAGCGACCTCAAGACTCTACAGGTTTAGGCGTTGGGTTCTTATGGTTGAGGCTTTCTTTCTCCTCCTCCGCCCTCAAACTATTATCAAAGTTCTCTAGACCATCATCACTTCTGGAAGAGGCCGAAGCATCCTAAATTCTGAGTCCAAAGCCCTAAGCCCTAAACCCTAAGCCCTAAACCCTAAACCTTAAACCCTAAACCCTAAACCCCAATAAGCCGGAGCCAAGACGGCCTTCTTTGCCAGGAAGCCTCCGATGACAACGCCAGCAACTACCAGGCTGGTGCAACGTGAAGCCACCCTAAACCCTAAACCCTAAACCCTAAACCCTAAACCCTAAACCCTAAACCCTAAACCCTAAACCCTAAACCCTAAACCCTCAAGCCAATGTGTAAACTTGAACTTATTCCTTCCTTTTCTTGGAAGGCCACTTTTGCTGGTGCGGTGCAAAATTGCCGGCTTCTTTTTGTTGAGTTGTCGTCAGTTGCTTTGTGACTGCGTAGGCGAGGAGGTTTAAGTAAATCGAACAAAGAAGACTTTTGGGCTTTGTGCCTGCGCACCGCTGCTACCCGAGACCCCCCCATTTTTGCAGGCTGTGGGGTTTAGGGTTTATTATGTTATGTCTTTTTTGTTACGAATTTGTTAGGGTTGGGGGTTGAACCACAAAGCCCTCAAGCCCCCGAAAGCCCTAAACCCTAAAACCCTAAACCTTAAAGCCGTAAACACTCAAATCCTGAAGCCCCTAAACCCTAAACCCTAAAAGCCTAAACCCTCAAATCCTAAAACCCCTAAGCCGTAAACCCTAAAAGCCTAAACCCCTAACCCTAAATCCCAAAACCCAACTCTTTCCTTGCCTTGGCTCAGGGCGTCTTTGATGGCAAGCTGGGCTTTGGCTCCAAGTGCGCTGTCATCGTTATCGACTTCACCAAGGCAGGGGCAGAAACACCAGTTTCAGTGTTTAGGGTTCAGGGTTCAGGGTTTAGGGTTTAGGGTTTATTTAGGGTTTAGGGTTTAGGATTTAGGGTTTAGGGTTTAGGGTTCAGGGTTTAGGGAGGGATTCTGAAGGTCAGAAAGAAGTCTGCGCATCCAGGAGTGACCTTTGCTGTTTGTTTCGAGATGCAGGCGTACACCACGCCCGGCAGCTTCTTCTACTGCCCTGGCAAAGGCCCGGAGGGAACCCGAAACCCAAAACCCAAAACCCTAAACCCAAAACCTTAAACCCAAACCCTAAACCCTAAACCCTAAACCCTAAATCCCCTGGAGGGACTGCCACAGATTGTTGTGTGACTGTGTCTGGAGCAGCTGCTTCTTTGCTGTCTTGGCAGGATTTGGTGTGGTGGACGCTGTTGCGGAGTCGCGGCCCCTGGTGGAGCTCGCCCGGGGTAAGGGCGTCCCGATTTTCTACACCAAGGTGTACTTCGAGCACCCGACTGATGGTGGGATCTTCACACAGAAGATCCCGAAGCTGCGCACGTGGAGAAAGGACAATCCACTGGTCGAGATCGACGACGGACTCGCACCTCATCCGGGAGATGCCGTCTTGGTGAAGCAGTATCCCTCTGCCTTCTTCGGCACGAACCTGGCGTGCAATCTTCGTGCCATCGGCGTCGACACTTGCATCATGATCGGGTGCTCCACCAGCGGCTGCATCCGGGCCTCAGTCCTGGATGGCATGCAGCACGGCTTCCGCTGCGTCGTGCCGCGGGAGTGCGTGGGAGACCGCACCCAAAGCATCCACGAGTCCAATCTCTTCGACATCAACGCAAAGAACGGTGATGTCTTGCCGAAGCAGGCAGTCATGGATCATTTAGCAAGTCTTTAAACAGGCATGTGTCGAGACCGACATTGTCGCAAGCATCACGATGAAGCCTGGAGAAAAGCCTCGCGTCCGTGGCTGGGGATTGTGCACTTTGTCTGTGCGCCCCCACGAGCCTAGGACACTTAACTTATTGATGTCGCTCTGTCAGGTTTATCGTCCTACTGCCGGCGTTCGCATACTGGAATGCGAGACGGAGGCAGGAGGCATGTGATTGGTGGCCTAACGAGCAGTTCTCTAGGGCATGGCCACTTCTGGGTACCCTTAGTATAGGGCTAGTGATAAATCATGCTGCAAGGTTCGCACTGCCACCGGCTCGTCGCGGCTGACCGTGGAGATCTGGGATGTGTCCGGTGACACAAAGTCGGTGCCTTACGGCGGTGCTTAGGCACCTAAACACCTCACCCCGAAACCGGCGCCCTAAACCCCTTAGCTGAAACCCTAAACCCTAAAGTAGGGAAATCAGGGTGCGCCAGCTTTTCGCACGACGCAGGTTCCAGAAGTGCTGGCCGGCCATAAAGAAGGCCAGGCGGCAGGTTGCAAAAAACTCGCACGCGTCTAAGTCAGGGTCTTTTTCTGGGGTCCTTTTCAGGGTGCCATACTGTCTATGGTAATACTCTAACTAAGGCGGTCACTCTTAGTTAGGTTACCCAAAAAAGAGACCCTAATTTAGAGAACTGACCAAATAGCACCCAACAAAAGGGACCCGAATTTTAGAGAGCGGCCCCACATATTGCAGGAGGCTGAAGACTGCTTATCATGTTTTAGTCTCCTCAAACGCCCTAAGAGTTCAACTGTTCATTCCAGCCTCCCTCTTCCCTTTCAAGGGTTTAGGGTTTAGGGTTTCGTGTTTAGAGTTCAGGGTTTGGGGTTTAAAGTGGCCTGACCAGGATGCCGTTGGAGCCATCTTAGTCTACAACCCTGAGAAGCCCAATCACGAGCAGGAGGTGGAGCCGTGGCCTAAGACCCTAAGCGATGGACTTCCGGTGTTGGTCTTTGCCGAACCCTGTTTAGCCGCCTGTAGCTAAAGCCGAGATGTGATGCCTGGCTTTCTCTGAGGCAGTGGTTCAACTGGTTTCCGAGGACTTGGCCGAAGCCCTAAACCCTAAACCCTAAACCCTAAACCACCAAGCCACCAGGCCCTGACCCCAAACCCCAAACCCCAAACCAAACCCCAAACCCCAAACCCCAAACCCCAAACCCCAAACCCCAAACCCCAAACCCCAAACCCCAAACCCCAATTTCCGAGTTGCTCTTCCAGGTTGGGTGTGTTGGTGGCCTGGGTTTACGTAGGGCTTCGGGCTTAGTGCTTAGGGTTCAGGGTGGGTTTAGGGTTTAGGTTAGGGTTTAGGGTTTAGGGTTTAGGGTTTAGGGTTTAGGGTTTAGGGTTTAGGGTTCAGGGTTCAGGGTTCAGGGTTCAGGGTTCAGGGTTCAGGGTTTAGGGTTTAGCGGGGTTTCGGGGTTGAGGTGCTGGGACTTGGGGGCTTCAGGGCTTAGAGGGTCTCGCTCCTTGAGATGCCGGCTGGCACCCCGAACCTCAAAGGAGCAAAGGTCGCCTTAAACCCTAAACCCCAAACCCTAAACCCCAAACCCCAAGCCCGAAACCCTAAACCCTAAACCCTAAACCCTAAACCCTAAACCCTAAACCCGAAACCCCAAACCCTAAACCCCGAACCCTAAACCTGAAACCCTAAAACCTAAACCCCTAAACCCCCAGGACGATGAGCATGTCGGCCAGCCAAGTGCTGGTGATGCAGTCGCTGCGACGATCCGACCTGCTGCGGCCGGGGGCCGAGAGCTTGCATGTCTAAACGGCAGGTTCAGGGTTTAGGGTTTAGGGTTTAGGGTTTAGGGTTTAGGGTTTAGGGTTTAGGGTTTAGGGTCCCTTAGAACAACGAGGCCCAGCTATAGAAGGACAGTACAGAAATCGTCATAATTCATCATTCGTACCGACAAAGAAGCAATAAGCAAGAAGCGACACTAATGCAAGTACCCTAAACCCTAAACCCTAGACCCTAGACCCTAAACCTAAACCCTAATCCCCAAACCCTAAACCCTAAACCCGAAACCCTAACCCTAAGGATGAATCTGACAAAAGCCTCAGCCCTGCAGCCTCAAGGAGGGTTCCGCTGCCCGGCAAGATTGCAGCAGCGGGTGTGGGTCAGCCAGCTGCAGTGTCTGCGGAGGACTTGGCCCACGCCCCAGCGGCCCCATTGCTGGGAAGGGTGCTGTTTCAGATGTCTTACGGGTTTGGGAAACTAGCCCTAAACCCTAAACCCTAAACCCTAAACCCTAAACCCTAAACCCTAAACCCTAAACCCTAAACCCTAAACCCTAAACCCTAAACCCTAAACCCTAAACCCTAAACCCCTAACCCCTAAACCCTAAACCCTAAACCCTAAACCCTAAACCCTAAACCCTAAACCCTAAACCCTAAACCCTAAACCCTAAACCCTAAACCCTAAACCCTAACCCTAAACCCTAAACCCCAATTCCTAAACCCCAACAAACCCGAAAGCAATGTAGCGAGCCTCGTCGAGGTCTCGGCGCGGAGGGTCTTCAGCCTGCTGCTCAAGCCTACGTCTGCTGAGTCCTGTAAGGTTTAGGGTTTAGGGTTTAGGGTTTCGGGTTTAGGGTTTAGGGTTTTAGGGTTTAGGGTTAGGGTGCTGCAAGGCCAGTTCATGGAGACGGTCTACCAGAGTGTGATGGAGAAGCAGCGGCAGGAGGAGGAAGATGTGGAACGCTTGGCTTCTGCCCGAACCCCCCAAAGGCCCTAGAACCTGGAAGGACCCCTCAACCTAGGGACCCCCAAATTCCTCAAGCCCTCTTCCCGCAAGTGCCCTTTGTTTGAACTGAGGTTATGAAGGGTGGCTGACCGGAGGTCTCTTGACTTCCGGGGGGGCGTTTCAGGGTTAGCGTTGATGAAGCGATGAAGTTGAGAGTTTTTCGGATGGCAGGGTTGAGGAAATTTGGGCTTGAAGGTTTAGGGGTTTAGGGGTGCTGCCAAGAACGGCAGCCGCCTGCGGCCCCTGTGAGCCCCAAACGCCATCCTGCAACCTCCCCGAAGTCATCTTCATCTCAGCCATCGCCCTCTCAAGTTGCAAGTGTCATCAAGAGAAGCTGAAAGTACGGGCTGCATGGAGTCGAGTTTCACAGTGAAAAAAAGAACCCAAGAATTCATGCTCCGCGCAGTGTACAGAGAACGCTGAGGGTGCAGGCAGAACCCCAAGGCTCCGAATGAGGAGCAGAGGTAGGTAGCCGACGATGCAAGCTCAAGAAAATAATTGCGGCGGCCTTCTCAGTTGCACACAGCTTCGCAGATCATTCCTTCGAGGATGACGGGCCGGGATGGGCAAGTGCTCACGCAGGACAGACGGCTGGTGGAGTACAACGTGAAGAGCCGGGGACTGGGTTCAGGGTACACTTCTTTATTGTCCACTCCTCGCCCATCACCTGTCTCCCACCCCAGAGTCTCTCAGAGAGTCCCTATCCCCGGATATGACTAATCTTAGCATGGGTAGATTGCAAGTTGCGTCCACAAGACACGGCTGGTGCCCAGGCTCCGAATTTGGTGGCCTGCAGATTGTGCAGCCAGATACAGTTGTGGAGCAAGAGGCGTGTTGCCAAAAATGTGCGTAAGCGTTCAACCCTGGCTCAAACTTACGCTTCCTCCCAAAACCCTAAACCCTAAACCCTAAGCCCTTAACCCGAAACCCTAAACCTTGCTGCAGGCTCGCCCAACTGGTTGCATGTGGTACCCATACAGCGGCGGCAAGGGTGACAACCAAAAGGCCTCCTGGAGGATGTGATGGTTATTTAGCAGATTAAATAGCAATTAATCAATAATTAACTCATATCTAGTTGTGGTTGCAAGAGTTGAAGATTCCAAGTTCTGCGCTCCCACAGAGGTCCTCACCATGAACGATGAGTACAAGTTCAAGATCTGGAACACCGTCAACAGGCACTACTCTTAATGTGTGCTATTTACTTTTCTTCACACATATATAAAGATATATGAAGATATATAATATAATATAAGATCATATAATATAATATAGTTTAATATAGTCTGATATCCTCTTATGTAATATAATTAATATAATATAATATAACAGAATATAATATCATATAATATAATATGATATAATATAATAGAATATAATATATATGTATATATATATATATATATGTGTGTGTGTGTGTGTGTGTGTGTGTGTGTGTGTGTGTGTGTGTGTGTGTGTGTGTGTGTGTGTGTGTGTGTGTGTGTGTGTGTGTGTGTGTGTGTGTGTGTGTGTGTGTGTGTGTGTGTGTGTGTGTGTGTGTGTGTGAGAGTGTGTGTGTGCATAGTTTTTCTATCTCTCTCTCTCTCTCTTCTCTCTCTCTCTCTCTCTCTCTCTCTCTCGCTCTCTCGCTCTCTCTCTCTCTCTCTCTCTCTCTCTCTCTCTCTCTCTCTCTCGTTCTCTTGCCATGTTCGCGCCCTGCTTACTCGGTGACGGACCAGTATCCAGAAAGCCCGAAGCACTTGAAGGAAGGAACGTATCTTCAACAATTGCGTACTGGGTTCCCCCTCACAAACAAAGGAAAATATTCCTTGGCTAAAGGGGGGGGTTTGGGGTCCGATACAAGTGCCTGGAACGAGCCAGCCTTAGTCTGCAGACGTCTTTCTCCGGAGGTCCTGCCGCAAGACGGCTCTAGCGCCAACTTACGGTGGGCCCATCACTAGGCCCGCCGCCCAAGGTTGAGAGCGTCAGAGTTCGAAGGAAGCCAGACTTGAGGAAGTTTGTTAAAGTAGGGGATCCGAAGTATGGGCCCTTAAATTGGGTCCCCTGCTATAAAACCCTTATATACACTATACATAATAAGGGCCCATACAGCGGATCCCTTAAAAATCCCTTTAAACAAGGGTACGGGACCACACTAAGGGCCCACGGTTCCAACTTTAGAGGTAGGGTTCTTAAGGGAGGGGGGTTCAAGGGGGATATGTAACCCAAGGTTCCCTAACACTCCCCACTACTGCGTACTAAATCCTAAACCCTAAACCCTAAATCCCTAAGGTTCCCTAGGTACCGACCCCACCGTGAACCCCCCCCTCCCTTAAGAACCCTGATTCATGTTTCCACCCATTCCTGAGGATGACGCCCGTGTACGCAGAAGCAGATGGGGAGGCCGCTGGAATGCGCACTCTGAACCCTAAACCCTAAACCCTAAACCCTAAACCCTAAACCCTAAACCCTAAACCCTAAACCCTAAACCCTAAACACCAAGTGGGCAAGGACCAGTTCATGCTCTATGCCACTCACGAGAAGGTGCTTGGTCTGGCAGAGACCTGAGTTATTCTCAGTTTGACATGACGTGAACCACAGTGTTGATTATGGTGCTGGTGAGTGTATACTTTCAAATGCAAAATGGACTGGTGAGCGTGTTTTTTGTGGCGTCCTTTGGGGAAAGCAGTCCTACAAACCTTGCTTCGCACATTGCTGAGGGGCGGGTGCCTGGGAGCAACTGGCAAGGGATCAATCAACATTCATGTTTCATGATAGGCTTCCCACCTTTCACAAAGGGGCAGACAGTTCTAAAAACAAATTGCCCTTAGAATCCCTCTGCCTCTACCTGTATATTCTGCAAAAGACAACTACTATATCCCCCTTGGGAATTATTTTTATGTTTGTTTATACAAAACCCAAGAGGATATTAACAATATGTTTTTTATTAAGGTTCTAAGGGGCGTATAGACTTAACCGCTGAGGTGCAGCTGCCTTTGGATGGCAACCCGAACAAGGCTTGGCTTCAGTCTGCGTTGAGACTTCATCCTAACCCAGATTTCTCTGCCCTTGAGCTTATTTCAACTGATCCGTGGACCCCAAAAGACTAGAAAAACACTAATCCCCATATTGCCCTTGCAAGCAGGATTGTTTTTAATGTCCTGGGAAGTCTTAAGCAATTACTACTTTTAGGGATACCCAAACCCCTTTCCCAAACCCCTGGCCCTTTCTTCTTTTTCTGTCGGGCGCCCCGACAGGGTCCATAGTTTGAAGGCACCTTCCCCTCGCCTTTTCCTTAACGGTGTTCCGCATCTTGCTACATGTACAGCCCCGCTTCAGGCCCTACACCCTAAACCCTACTTGGAGGTTCGTGGTACTTATTCACCAAGTATAACTGCATGTTATAGCCCACTTATAAGCCCCTTAAGCGCCCTAATATGGTTATGATTGGGTTTTAAGTACAGTTACCCGAAACCCTGAACCCTATAGCCTAAACCCTTAATATTGGGTTAATACGTACCCTGAGCCCTCGACCTACGCCGCGCTTTGCCTGCCCGCCTGCGCAGTGCATGGGCCTCATTGCGCACCCTGGGCAAATCGCGGCCATCTCTGTGGACTACCAGGCGTTTTGTTTTAGGGCTTAGGGTTTGGGGTTTAGGGTTTAGGATTTAGGGTTTGGGGCTGGTGTGCGTGGGGGGGGGGGGGGGGGGGGGAATAGTTTTTGCCCCCTAGAACCCGAAGCCCGAACCCCCGTGCTTTAAACCCCACAGTCTGAACCCTTAAGGTCTAAACCCTAATTACGGCCGCCACTAAGGACTGCCTAAGGGGGAACATCCCAAGTATATAGCCAACCTTTGGCATCTTGGAGTTGTTTCAGGAGGCCTGGGAGGCCCCTGAGAGGCCCCGGGAATCAGGAGGCTGTTGGAGGAGGTTTAGGGTTTAGGGTTTAGGGTTTAGGGTTTAGGGTTTAGGGTTTAGTCGGGGCCTACAAGAACTGCCACGGTGTGACTTTACAATAGATTTTCAGAAGATGCTTGTCGTTCTGACAACGTCCCAAGTGCCCGAGTTTTTCAAGTCTAAACCCTAAACCCGAAACCCTAAACCCTAAACCCGAAACCCTCCTCAGCAGCCCAAAGTGACCCAAGTGACCCAGGTGTCCCAAGCGTCCGAAGGTCCCACCAGACCCAAGGGTTCACAGTGTCACAAGTGTGCTAAGCATCCCCAGTGGCCCCCAAAGCCCTCAACCCACAACCCTAAACCTGAAACCCCAAACCCTAAACCCTAAACCCTAAACCCTAAACCCTAAACCCTAAACCCTAAACCCTAAACCCTAAACCCTAAACCCTAAACCCTAAACCCTAAACCCTAAACCCTAAACCCTAAACCCTAAACCCTACGTACGGAGCTTCGAGCCGATGTAGGGCCAATACGCCTTCACCTGCGGCGGCAATGACCTCACTGCAGCTTGGCGGAGGGTGGTTTTGTCGTGTTTCCCAGTGTTTTTAGTTGAGTTTAGGGTTTAGAGGTCATTTTTGCCAGTATTTTAGTTGAGTTTAGGGTTTAGGGGTTAGGGTTTAGGGTTTGAGGTTTGGGGCCCCAAACCCTAAGCCCCAAACAACTTAAACCCTAAAGGTCAACAAACAAAAGCTCCCAAGGCCCATGAAACCCTCGAATGGCCCATCACCATTTAACTCTAAACCTCAGCCCTCAGACCCCCCAAACCCGAATGCTCTCAAAAGAAAGGCAAGAAACGCTCACCCCCAAACCCCCAAACCCTAAACCCTAAACCCCAAACCCCAAACCATATGGGCGGGCTTGCTTGGAGAAAGGGAGTCATTGCATTAAAAAAAAACCCAAACCCCCAACGTCAGGTGAACCAGTGGCTTATTGATCCACAACCAGGCCCCGAGTGTTGGGAGGAGCTTTCGGGGTTTAGGGTTTAGGGTTTAGGGTTTAGGGATTGGGGTTTAGGGTTTAGGGTTTGGGGTTTAGGGTTCAGGTTTTGGGGGCTTGGCTGGGGCTTGGGGATGGTGGGGATTGGGGGCTTTGGGATGTTTGGGGCAGAGGTTCAGAGCTTAGGCCCAAAGCCTGGAAATGCTCCCCTTATACTCGCGGACCCCCGATTCTCATCCCTACCTATGATTATAAGGACACTGAGTCTAGGGGGGGAACATCGATGACATTCCCTACCTATTAGGGACACTGAGTAGAAGGGGGGGGGGGAAGATCCCAACCAAAGCCCTTTTTGCCTCCTCTCCGATAGCCGCCGCCGTGCAGTTGCCAACGCAAGCGTCATGGGCGGCTCCGGCATCGAGCCCTTCGTGAAGCTCTTGGATGGGGGCGAGGCGCTTCACACACATATTCTGGGTAGCCCCAGTCGTACCCTTTCCCCTTTTTTTGGTTTCTGGGTTCCCTTGTAAAGTAACCAGCCCTGAAAAGGGTGCCCTTTATGATGATATTGTCACTGTGCCACCAAGTATTGCACTCCTCACGGCTTCCGAATAGGAAACCCATGCACCCTGAACCCTAAACCCCACCTTGCATCAACCCCTAAACCCCTAAACCCCTAAACCCCTAAACCCCTAAACCCCTAAACCTCTAAACCCCTAAACCCCTAAACCCCTAAACCCCTAAACCCCTAAACCCCTAAACCCCAAAACCCCTAATCTTGCGTCAACCCCTAAACCCCTAAACCCCTAAACCCCTAAACCCCTAAACCCCTAAACCCCTAAACCCCTAAACCCCTAACCCCTAACCCCTAAACCCCTAAACCCCTAAACCCCTAAAAACCCCTAAAAACCCCTAAACCCTAAACCCTAAAAACCCCTAAACCCTAAACCCTAAACTAAACCCTAAACCCTAAACCCAAACCCCTAAACCCCTTCCCCCCCCCTAAACCCCTAAACCCTAACCCCTAAACCCCTAAACCCTTAAACCCCTAAACCCCTAAACCCCGAAACCCCTAAACCCCTAAACCCCTAATCTGGCATCAACCCCTAAACCCCTAAACCCCTAAACACCTAACCCCTAAACCCCTAAACCCTAAATCCCTAAACCCCTAAACCCCTGAACCCCTAAACCCTAAACCCCTAAACCCCTAAACCCTTACGCCCTAAGCCCCTATTCGACCCCAAAGCTGGGTCGCACCTGGAGGATGGTGCCTTCTTCTGCGACATGAAGGCTGACGGGAGCCCCCCCTACTTGGAAGCTCTTTTGACTTAGTAAGTAGGGTTAGTAAGGTGCGTTATGGGGGATTCGAATAGCGGTTTCTAGGGGTTACGAGGTAGACTTACAACGTCAAAAGAGCTTCTAAGTACCCGACATTTACTCTCCCCGAGTAGCTCTTGGCAATGGAGGACTACTTCTACTACTCGCAGATCCGCTCGCAAGACGAGAACACCACCAAGGCTTCCAGAAGTGAATTGGGCAAAAAGCCCTAAAGCCCTAAATGGATCCTAAATGGGTCCTAAATGGATCCTAAATGGATCCTAAATGCATCCTAAATGGGTAGTTCTGTAAATTAGGCTAGTTGTTTGGGTCCCCTGTAGACAACGGCACCCTTACAATAAGGACCCCGAAAGGCAGCCTATTCCAAAGAGCCAACGCAAGCACCTGTCGAGCGGCTTTGAGGCAAGAATGCTGGACGGCATGATCCCAGTGCAGGACACGCCCCGCGGCTCGTGAGTGGGTTTCGGGGTTGTGGGGGGGGGGGGGGGGTGGGTTGAGGGTTTAGGGTTTAGGGTTTAGGGTTTAGGGTTTAGGGTTTAGGGTTTGGGGTTAGGGTTGGGATGTTCCCCCTTATACTAGCAGTCCGTAATGGGGATTCTAATAACAGGGAGGTACTAGAATCCCTATTAAGGCCTGTTAGTATCAGGGAGAACATCCCTAGCCCTAAGCCCTAAGCCCTAAGCCCTAAGCCCTAAGCCCTAAACCCTAAACCCTAAACCCTAAACCCTAAACCCTAAACCCTAAACCCTAAACCCTAAACCCTAAACCCTAAACCCTAAACCCCCCTAGTCCCAAAAATGGTTCAGTTGACCCTTGTGGGGCTTGTGGCCAGGAGATCCCGCACTTGATGTGTGCTCTGGGGTATTTCCCCACACAGCTGGAGATCACCAACATGACCAACGAGGCTCTCAAAGGAGTGCAAGCCCTAAACCCCTAAACCCTAAACCCTAAACCCTAAACCCTAAACCTTGAACCCTAAACCCTAAACCCTAAACCCTAAACCCTAAACCCGAAACCCTAAACCCTAAGCCCTAAACCCTACACCCAAGCCCCTAACCTTAAACTGTAAAGCTCGGAAGGTGAAGTACTCGAAGTTCGCTGAGACTGGCGAGTACGTCGAGAGGCGCCTGTTGGGAGATCCACGTGGGGGTTTCCGAAGTTAGGGTGTAGGGTTTTGGTCTTTTTTTTATATTTCGATATTAGGGGTACCTTCTTGGGTCCTTATAAGAAGGGGATCCACTATATTAGGCATCTCTATTTTCGTAAACCCCCACGTGGCCTTCGAATCGACCAGTCGTCCGTGTCATGGCAGGATCGCCTTCGACGACCTGGTGAAGCTCTACGCAGCCCACTTAGACTGGAGCCCTAAACCCTAAACCCTAAACCCTAAACCCTAAACCCTAAACCCTAAACCCTAAACCCTAAACCCTAAACCCTAAACCCTAAACCCTAAACCCTAGGGGGAGTTCGCCTCCCGCCCCCCCCTCAAGCTCTTAGTGTTGACAGTGGCGCGAAGTGCATGGTGTCAGGGATCTCTGTTCGAAGGTTCCGAGCACCTGAGCACCTGGAGGCTAAGCCTTGGAACAAGCGAGCAAAACCCAGAACCCAGACCCGGAGCCTTAAACTCTTGAACCCGAAGCCCTAAACCCTGAACCCTGAACCCCAAACCCCAAACCCCAAAGCCTAAACCCCCAACCCTAGGCCCTAAACCCTAAACCCTCAACCCCAAACCCTAAACCCTAAACCCTAAGGTCAACCACCGACCTGTCTTTGCGGTGGGCCCAGAGCAGATCCGGCAGGCCTTTGAGGCGCGGTGTTGCATGCCGCAGCAGGATTAGGGTTCAGGGTTCAGGGTTCAGGGTTCAGGGTTCAGGGTTTAGGGTTTGGGGGTTAGGGGTTAGGGTTCAGCCATCAGGGTTTGAGGGTTTAGGTCCAGCCTTGAGGGCTTTTCGGCTGAAGGGTCTTGCTTTCTCTTTAGTGGTTGTAGGTGCTTTCGGATTGTGGGGCTCTAGGGTTGTATGGGTTATTTGGGGGTTTAGGGTTTAGGGTTTGAGGTTTAGGGTTTAGGGTCTAGGGCTTAGGGTTTAGGGTTTAGGGTTTAGGGCTTGGGGAATCGTGGCGCTGGGGCAGGCCACGAAGAGGCATGAGCCTGGCCCCTTGTCGCGGGAAGCTTTCCTCAGTCTCCTCACCAGCTCGGACCTCGGGCAGCTTCTGAGGCAACGTGGGGGTAGATCACTTGGGTTTAGGGTTTAGGATGTTCCTCCCTTGTACTAACATCTAACAGTACCCACTTGTTATAATCCCTATTCAGGACTGTTAGTATAAGGGGGAACGTCCCAAGGGTTGATCAGAATTCTTAGGTCTTTTCGTGAGGCTCTGTGATCGCAACTCTTTTGCTGTTGTGGCTCCTAGTCCCCATCAGCCACCAGGAGTAAACCCTAAACCCTAAACCCTAAACCCTAAACCCTAAACCCTAAACCCTAAACCCTAAACCCTAAACCCTAAACCGCCTAAACCCTAAACCCTAAACCCTATCTTCACCCTAGACTCCTAAAACCAGGGCCGCAACCGCAGCTGCAAGATCAAGGGATCTTTGCTGGGCCGTGGTGGGCGTGGTGTTCGCGTGTGTTCCCCCAAAAAAAGGGACCACACGGGCTCGGCTCATGTTTTCCAGCGGCCTCCCATGGTCCACGCCCACGAGGCTCTGCAGATTTTTGAGCCCTTGCCTCTTGGCTTTCATTGCCTGGGGCCATGCGCCCCTATGCTCGAAACCAGGTGAGAACTGCCAAAGCAGCAGGTGCTGTCAAGACCCTGGGCACCAGTGCTTCGTCAAAGACTCCACCTGGGCCGGCTGCAAGCCTTCCTGCACGGCCGGGATTGACACTTAATTGGAAATACGTTTTAACTTTTGGGTACTGTACTGTACTCCCAAAGAAAACAGCTGAAAAACATGTGATTTTTGCTAGGGTTCCAAGTGCAGTATAGGATACGGCAGACCCTCTGCAGTATCGCACGCCCTGGGCGTGCGAAGTGCTGAACACCTCGGAGACTCCGGCCAAGGCATGCTCGATCGCGGGCGTCGGCTGCATGGCCACGAGGTGTTGTGCCGATCCCGGCAGCATCTGTTTCGAGAAGGACCCTATATCCCTTCTGGGAACTATTTTTCATTCTTGTTTATATAAAGCCCAAGAGGATATTAGAAATACTAGGTTTTTATTGAGGTTCCAAGGGGAGTAGAGGACCAGTACTGGGCGGACTGCAAGCCTCACTGCGAGCCGGGCGCTCATCAAGACGATCCGGCAGAGTTCCGGACCCCCTGGAGCTGCAACATCCTCTCCCTGGACCTTCAGAGCGCGAACGCCACCGTGCAGGACGCGGTTCCGGGGGCTGGAGCTGACTCCGAACTTTCGGGCTGCTCCGGTGCCGGGGCCAACTGCCAGAGCACGAGGTGCTGTGTCCAGGAGGGGTACAGCTGCTTCGAGAAGGATGACACCTGGGCAGATTGCCGAAGTCACTGCGAGCCTGGCATCAACAAGGATGACCCGGCGCCCTATCGCACACCCTGGAGCTGCCAAGTTCTGCAGCCGGTGGTTTTTCGGGGGTCTTCGCTCCAGACGAAGGTCCTGGCCCCTCCTGGCTCGCCGGTGGCGCGACATGGCAGGCTCCAGGCCAAGGGCAACCAGATACTGAACGAGCACGGCCTTCCGGTGCGCATCCGCGGCGTTTCTCTGTTCTGGTCGCAGTGGGGCTCGAAGTACTGGAACCGGCGCGTGATCGAGTGGCTGCGTGATGACTGGCGCGTGTCCTTGATACGTGCGGCAATGGGAGTGGAGGATGGCGGCTACTTAGATGGCCCTGATAGGCACAAGCAAATCCTGGCCGATGTGGTGGATGCCGCGATCCTGGCGGGCCTTTACATCATCATCGACTCTTGGTCGTAGTTGAGTAACATTTTGCAGTTTTAAGGGTACTTAAACCCAAGAAGGAATAACACGTTAAAATTTTTTAATGTTATCCCAAAACAATGAACTAGGACTGGCACGACCATGCAGCTCACTTGCATCAGAAGGAGGCAGCGTCCTTCTTCGAGGAGATGGCGCGGCTGTATGGCCAGTACCCGAACGTCATCTTTGAGACATGGAACGAACCCGTCCATGAATCATGGGCGGATGTGGTTCGGCCATATCATGAGGCCATCCTTGGCACCATTCGCCAGCACAGCCCGAACTTGGTCGCCTGTGGGTCGCCCACCTGGTGCCAGGACGTTGACGTTGCTTCCAAGCAGCCCTTGGACGATCCCAACGTGGCATACTCCCTGCATTTCTACGCCGGCACGCACCAGGCGTCCATTCGGCGCAAGGCCCAGAAGGCCTTGGGCAACGGCGTCGCGCTCTTTGTGACGGAGTGGGGCCTCTGCCAAGCGCATGGCGATGGCTCCCTCAACTTCACTGAGACCGAGCTCTGGCTGGAGCTCCTGGAGAAGTACAACATCTCGGATGCCAGCTGGGCGGTCAACGACAAGGATGAGAGCTGCGATGCCCTGATTCCGGGAGCAGACTCCGAGGGTGGCTGGGGTCTGCAAGATCTCACCCCCTCTGGGAAATACGTGCGGAAGTCCCTTGTGGACACGCCTTGGGGTGAGGTTCCAACAAAGGAACCGCTCGACTTCGACGAGAGTGGCTGCACAATCTGGTTCTTGACTTTCGTTCATGCCGTCGTCTTGCTGGTGCACTTTTGAACAGTCCTCTCAGCCTAATTCCTTGCAACGAATCTAGTGAATCTAGTATCTAGTGTAGACAGGCCCGGAAGCCCAAAACAGACAAACCATGTATAGGGTGCATGAACAGCCTGTGCGGTGGACGACCAGTCAGCTGCGCATGCTGGAAAGAGCGTGCTCTATGGGGCGCAGCAATCCGATATGCATGACATAGTTTGCCGAACCGCCGACAGAGCAATAGTTCTCCAGGCGATGTTGGAAAGAGGAGTGGCGGGATTCTGACGGTGGGTCGTTTTGGGAGAGACCTCCGTTTGCCACAACTGCGCTAGGATCTCGCAAGATCCCTCCCCAAAACCCCGAAACCCCAAAACCCAAAGCCCAACCCTAAACCCCAAGCCTCTAAGCAGCACAGTGCCCGAGGTCATGGCGAGAAGATGAGTTACGAGGAGCTGGAGCGATGCTTGGAGGTGCCTCAGCGGTTTAGGGTTTCACCCTAAACCCTGAACCCTGAACCCTGAACCCTGAACCCTGAACCCTAAACCCTAAACCCTAAACCCTAAACCCTACTTTTGGGCCCAGGCTCCATTTGCCTGCCAGCTATCTTTAGGTTTCTCACCAACATGCTAAGCGCGTGATTCTCAGATTCACCAAAGATCAAGGCAGGGAGAGCAAGAGAGAGAGAGAGAGAGAGAGAGAGAGAGAGAGAGAGAGAGCGCGAGAGAGAGAGGGAGGGAGGGAGGGAGGGAGAGAGAGAGAGAGAGAGAGAGAGAGATGGACTACTACGACTACCACTGCTACTTTTATTCTTACTACTACTACTACTACTACTACTACTACTACTACTACTACTACTACTACTACTACTACTACTACTACCCTAAACCCTAAACCCTAAACCCTAAACCCTAAATCCTAAACCCTTAACCCTAAACCCTAAACCCCAAACCAGGCTCTGGTGGGTGACTCTTCGATCAACCGGGTCTTGGAAGAGGAGGCCCTCCCTACACCCTCCGAGCCCTAAGGCCTAAAGCCCGAAAGCCCTAAGACCCTCAGAAGCCCGAGGGCTTTTAGGGGGTTTAGGGTTTAGGGTTTAGGGTTTAGGGTTTAGGGTTTAGGGTTTAGGGTTTAGGGTTTAGGGTTGAGGGGCCAGACACCCTGAACCCTGGTCTACTTTACGGGTCCCATATGATCGTAAACCCCCATATCATATGCCCTCCCCCTATCATATTAACTTCTCATGATATCATACGGACATAGACATGGAACATGTAGTCCCCCCACCCCTGATGGTACATTGAATATGGTGACTTTTTGGTGGGCGGAATCTTACTTGGGGGGGTCTTCCCTAATCTCTAAGGAACCTAGCGCACTTTTATGGGCATATCCCTTAATTGGTGATCCGGATATTGTTCCCAGTTCACTCCTGAACTAAGGAACGAAATCTAATTGGGGGGTATCTTCCTCAACTACGGGCTTCTGGGCCGCGTCTCGTCATGGTGTCTTGAACAGCAAGTCTTAACACTTTCAATCCCACCCCCCAACCCACAAACCCGACTCTGGACCTCGAAAAACTCCCAAACCCCAAGCCTCAACCCTACGCCTAAGCCCTCAAGAGCAAAGCCCCCAAACCCAAGAAACCCTCAAAATTGAACATCGAGGTACAAGAACGCATAATCATCTACCGTAATTATACAATAATGGAACAATGCAATAATATAAAATAGATAAAGAGATACGAATGCAGTAACCTAATAATACATCGAGCCTCGAGGTCGATGCACTGGACTTTGCCCACAATGTCCTGGGACTCGCCGAAGCGGAGGACGAATCGCAGGAGGCGGCGGGCAGCGTCACGACAGCCTTGGGGGGTAATTGAAGGTCAAGGGTGTAGGTTTTAAGGGTTTTAATGGTTTAGGGTGTAGGAGGTTTAAGTGGGTAGTTGAAGGTCAAGGGTGTAGGGGTTTTTAAGGGTGTTCAGGATTTCGGGTTATTGGGGGTTTAATGTTTATCAGGGCTTAGTGTGTCAGGTTTTAGGGTTGAGGATTCGCTGGTTTTTCCTGGGCGTGGTGGCGCGTGGTGTCTCAAAACCCTAAACCCTAAACCCTAAACCCTAAACCCTAAACCCTAAACCCTAAACCCTAAACCCAAAACCCAAAACCCAAAACCTTAAACCTTAGACCCGAAACCCTAAACCCTAAACCCTAAACCCTCAACCCTAAACCCTACACCCTAAACCCGAAACCCTAGAGCCTTGTGCGCGACGCGCAGGCAGCCGCACCTGCGGAGGGCACCTCGGAGTGGGCCGGTACCACGTCCTGGCCCCAGACTTTCGTGCTCGGAAGTGCTTCCTCGGGAGGATGAGGGGGACCTCATCCTCTAAACCCTAACCCTAAACCCTAAACCCTAAACCCTAAACCCTAAACCCTAAACCCTAAACCCTAAACCCTAAACCCTAAACCCTAAACCCTAAACCCTCTTCTGGCTCTCTGAAACAGGGACCTTACTCCGAGGATCTCTGTCCCCAAGGGGTCCCCTAATTCTATCCCCTAGAGTGCTTCGTAGAATATACTAATCATATTGAAGCAGGGTTTATATTGCTGTTTTTGGTGAGTGTATCAATAAGGTTCCTTTTCATATTGGTGAGTGTATGTGTTTGGTGTCCTTTTGGGGATACAAGAAATAGAAGCCCTACTTCATATAAGATGATACAGAAACATGATAGTATGCTAATACACCAATATAGCAGTATCACAATATAACCAGATAGTAATATGGCAATAGGGTATTATACTAAACATGCAAATACATTGATGCAATAGAATGTACTAACAAACAACAGTATAATCACCCGATGATCTAGTAGTCTTGTAGAATAGTCCTATTCGCAAGAATGTACGCTCTCTGCCAGCATGTTGGTCTTTTTGCGGGCAAGGCTGGCCTTCTCCTCGGTAGCTGCTCAGTGACAGCAGCTTCGACAAGGCTCAACAGACTCGCCTAGCCTAAGCCAAAGCCAAGCCTAGGTCAGCTTGCGAAGCTGTCATGGTGTGCTCGCGTTTCACCCGATTTCACCGGGCCTTCCAAATCCTGGAAGCCCAGACGGTTCGAATGCCAAGGAGTCTGGAGTTTCACAGTGCCTCGACAATATTCTCGCAGGAGTCCAGCCTCGCGTGCGAAGAAGGGTTGTTGTGCTCGGAACGGCTTAGCTAGCCGGGTGTAGCTACCTCCGGCGCAGCTGGAAACAGATGCAAATGCGATGTTCTCCATGCTCTTCATCACATCTGCTCAAAGGGGGGTAGAGGTCAAACTTCCGATCAGCCAAGCCGGGTGGCGGAGACGGACGACAAGCCAGAACAACAAACAACAACTCACCAGCCAGCCACAAACAGACTCCGCCACCCTGCCCGCGTCTCGCGCGACAGCGTATCAGAGGACAACCATGTCGAAAGGCATGCAAGGAGTTCGTTGAGGGTTCAGGGTTTAAAATTTAGGGTTTAGGGTTACCTCACAAAAGCTGCGGTGTCCTAGGTCCTAGGGCCGAAGTCGCATGCTGCTACACCCCTACCCCCCCCACTTCAAAATGCTGCACTGCGCTGCAGCCCTGAGCCAAACCCCTAAACCCTAAACCTAAACCCTAACCCTAAACCCGAAACCCTAAACCCTAAACCCTAAACCTAAACCCTAAACCCTAAACCCTAAACCCTAAACCCTAAACCCTAAACCCTAAACCCTAAACCCTAAACCTAAACCCTAAACCCTAAACCCTGAACCCTGAGCCCAAATCCTGCGGCGGCAAAGGACGATGTCCCTCGCGCTGGCTTGATCGACCAGAGGCCGGCCTCTCATAGAGCCCGCAGAAAAGCATCTGGGGTTTAGGGTTTAGGGTTTAGGGTTTAGGGTTTAGGGTTTAGGGTTTAGGGTTTAGGGTTTAGGGTTTAGGGTTTAGGGTCCTGGGCCCGGCCGGCAGCAGAAGCTGCCAAGAACCCCGTCAACCTAGACAACCCCCTGGTTCGTAGTGGTTTAGGGTTTAAAACCCTAGGGTTTAGGGTTTAGGGTTTAGGGTTTAGTAGGGAATGAGGGAGTTAGGGAACCTTATATATATATATATCTCTCTCTCTCTCTCTCTCTCTCGCTCGCTCTCTCTCTCTCTCCCTCCCTCTCTCTCTCTCTCTCTCTCTCTTTAAAGATTATATAGGTATCTCATGCCTTCGTTCCCTACTAAGAACTCGCCAGGCAAAGAATCCTAGCTTCACAGCCCCCTGAACCTAACCGCCCCAAGACAATGAACCGAATATTCCCTAAATCCTAAGCCCTAAACCACCCCAAAAGCACCCAAAACACCCCAAACCTCCGAAATTTCAAGAATTTTCGCTAAGCCCTAAACCCATAATCCTAACCCCAAACCCCAAACCCCAAACCCCAAACCCTAAACCCTAAACCCCCCAAATCAGCCCTAAACCTGGGAGCTCCGTCTCCGCGCCTCACTTTGTGGTACTTTACTGTAGCTTTAGATCCTTACCTTTTTTGGGTTTATTGGGTTTCTTCTTAGGTCAGCTAAAAGTTTAATTTATAGCTACCCTCCTGAGTGCAGCCAAGCTCAGGCCGAAGCGATGCAGAACCCCGGGCTGCCTTTCAGCCAGGCCCTTAGGCGTCTGAGGGTTTGTTTTGTTTGTCTTTTGTTGGTATACCTTTTATTATCTTTTTTGGCTTTTGTTTGTATTTTGCTTGTATATGTATATATGTATGTATATATATATATATATATCTGTATATCTTTATTTAGGTAGTTGCTTACTTATTTATTTTGTCGTTTATTTTATTTTATTTTTTTTTTTGGGGGGGGGGTAGGGCTTTACGGCTTTAGGGTTTAAGAGTTATAGGGCTTTTGGAATCTAGTGTTCGGGGGGGGTTTAGGGCTTAAGGCTGACCTACAGGTCATGCCTGGAACAGCGATTGGGGATGGCTCCTCGAATCTAAACCCAAAGCCACAGACCCAAGCAGAAGACTCTAAACCCTAACCCAAGAAGCCCTCAATCCTAAACCTAAACCCTAAACCCTAGCCCCTAAACCCTCAAACCCGAACCCCCCCCCCCCCCCCCCCCCCCCCCCCCCAAAAGGCCTCAACCCTAAAACCCAAAACCCCAAACCACCAAGCCCTAACCCTAAACCCCTAAAGGCCCAAAGCCAAACCCAAGCCCCAAATCCCCAACTCGAAACGCTAAACCCCAAACCCTAAACCCTACACCTTAAACCCTGAAACCCTGAAACCCTGAACCCTAAACCCTAAACCCTAAACCCTAAACCCTAAAACCTAAACCCTCGCCTCCATGCAGACAAAGGCTCTCCACCAGATGGGCGCTGGGGCCCAGGGCCGGAGCAGGCTTGGGAGGCGCAGGCGGAGTTGGGGGGGGAGGGGGGGGGAGTTGGGGTTTAGGGTTTAGGGTTTAGGGTTTCGGGTTTAGGGTTTAGGGTTTAGTTTTTAGTTTCTTGATTATCATTTTTATTCTTTTAGGCCTTGGGGGGTGTAGCAACAGAAACGGTTTAGGGGTTTGGGGTTTAGGGTTTGGAGGTTTGTTGGGTTTATAGGGTTTGGAGGGTTTTAAGGGTGTTGTGGGTTTACAGGGCTTGGTTTAGGGTTTAGGGTTTCGGGTTTAGGATTTAGTGGGCTTGGGGGTTTTGGGGTTTGGGTTTGGTGAGTTTAGGGCCTGAAACGCTTAGGGTTTGGTTGGTTTAGGGTTTGGTGTGTTGGGGGTTTGAGGCTTAGGGGTTTCGGGGTTTTGGGGTTTAGGGCTTGGTGGCAGGGTTCGTTTAGGGGGTGTCGGGGTAGGCTTAGAGGGTTGGGAGGGGTTTGGGGGTCTAGGGGTTCAGGGGCCTTGAGAGTCCGAGAACAGAACACCGTCAACCCTAACTCTTTGAGCCCTTCAGTCCTTGAGCACTTGCGCCCGAAACCCTAAACTCCAAAAGCCCCTGAACCCCCGAAACCCCCCAAGCAACCCTAAACCACCTAAACCCTCAACCCTAAACCACCCAAACCCTGAAGCCCAAACCCTGAACCCAAGTGCAGACCGCGAAGGCCCATCCCCCCCCTCTCCCCCGCCTCCAATGCCTTATGCCTGGGAAACCCTAAACCCCAAACCCCAAACCCGAAACCCTGTAAACCCACCAAACCCTTTAAACCCACGAAACCCTATAGACCCAACAAACCCCCAAACCCCACACCCCCAACCCCAAACCTTCAAACCCGAAACCTTCCAACCCTAAACCCTAAACCCTAAACCCTAAACTCAAAACCCTAAACCCTAAACCCTAAACCCTAAACCCTAAACCCTAAACCCGAAACCCGAAACCCTAAACCCTAAACCCTAAACCCCCACATCCCTAAACCTTTTCAGGGGCCTCTGCCACTTCACGTCCTGCCGCCAGTGGGTACCTTGGACCACTCCAAGGCCAGTGTTTGACTCCTTAGTTTAGGGGGAATAGGGGGGGGCTAGAAGCGGGGGTATAAGGGGGCAAAAAGGGGTGGTATAGGGGGGGTATAAGGGGGGGGGTATAAGGGGTGGATAAGGGGGGTTTGGGTTTAGGGTTTTGGGGTTTAGGGTAAGGGGTGCTAGGGTCCGGGGGTTCATTGGTTGTAGTTATAGCGGTTTCAGGGTGTGAGGGCTTGCTATACTGGCGAGAAGCCGAGCGCGTCATCGAAGATTTTGGCCTGCACGCGCCCTAAGGCCTAGCTCATACCGAACGGCGGGTTTCCGAAAATATGGGTACCCTTCTTGGGGGTTCCCTTGAAGGGGTGTATATTCAACTTGGGGTATAAACGGGGTACCCCCTGGTTTGGGAAACGCCAAGCTGAATCTTGGTTTTTGTGGCCTTTTGCGTGCAACCGCGCCTTGTGTTGATTTTGTTGCTTCAACTCGGGCGTTGCAGTCCAGGTAAAACCCTAAACCCTAAACCCTAAACCCTAAACCCTAAACCCTAAACCCTAAACCCTAAACCCTAAACCCTAGACCCTCAACCCTGAACTATGTGCCCCCGAAATCCCGAGCCCTCATGTGTAGCTAGCGCCGCAGGCAACCGCAAGTCTTGGCTCTGGCGGAAGGCCGTCGCAGGGTTTAGGGTTTAGGGTTTAGGGTTTAGGGTTTAAGGTTTAGGGTTTAGGGTTTAGGGTTTAGGATCTTTGGAGGTTTGAGTCGGCTTGTGTAGGATTCACGGACGTTCTTCCCGACTGCAGATGGTGAGCTTACCTGTTTTACACCCTAGAGCCCCTAAACCCTACACCCTAAACCCTAAACCCTGAACCCTAAACCCTAAACCCTAAACCCCAAACCCTAAACCCTAAACCCTAAATCCTAAACCCTAAACCCTAAACCCTAAACCCTAAATCCTGGAAGGCCTGGCCCTTCTGAGAATGTCCTGGAGCAGTTCCACATTGGTGCCACGCTGACCGGATCGGCACAGGACTCCGCGGGGACGTTGCTTTCTGCCGGGTTTCTTAGTAGGGGATGAGGCAATGAGGGCCCGACCCTATATAATCCCTGAATGGGTTATACATATGTATGTATATATATATATATGTGTATAATTTTTTTGTATGTATGTATAGGGCCCTAATTCCCTCATTCCCTACTAAGAACCAGGGTGTTTTGGCACTTCCTTGTTTTTTGCGTCCCCTTTGCGCTCCCTCAGGCAGACTACCGCTCAACCATGGAGCAATTTGGGAACTGGCCGGCAGCTTACCCCAAGACCCCGCAAACCTGAACTACACCAACCCTACAAACCCTACAGCTTGGGATCTTCCCCCTTATATTAACAGTCCTGAATAGGGATGATAAGGGGGGTACTATAATCCCTGTAAGGACTGTTAGTATAAGGGGTAACATCCCAACCTACGGCCCCCAAAATCCAAAGCCCCCCCCCCCACGTCCCCAAAGCCTAAATGTGCAAAGCCCTGAATGAAGAAGCCGAACAGCGCAGACAAGCTGTGAATGTGGCCGTAACCCTAAACCCTAAACTCTAAACCCTAAACCCTGAACCCTGAACCCTAAACCCTTAACCCTAAACCCTAAACCCTTAACCGCAACCCCTAAGCCCAAACCTCCCCCGTTTACAACCAACAGATCCCCTGGGGATGTTCAGCCTTATACGAACAGTCCTTAGTAGGGATTGTAGTACCCCCTATTGTTATCCCTATTAACGGACTGTTAGTGTAAGGGGGAACCTTGCCCCTAAACCCTAAACCCTAAACCCTAAACCCAAAACCTATGCCCCAAACCCTACACCCTAAAAACCCAAAACCCTCAACCCTCAACCCTCAACCCTCAACCCTCAACCCTCAACCCTCAACCCTCAACCCTCAACCCTCAACCCTCAACCCTCAACCCTCAAACCTCAACCCTCAACCCTCAACCCTCAACCCTCAACCCTCAACCCTCAACCCTCAACCCTCAACCCTCAACCCTCAACCCTCAACCCTCAACCCAGTCCCAAAGATCCCCCTTAGCAACCCACCCGAAAATGCCCCCAAGCCCCCGAGGGAGACTCCGATGCACGTGCCCCAGTCTTTCCCACTTCAAGCCGGGGGCCCCTGCTTCTTAAGAAGTGGGGTTTAGGCTTTAGGGTTTAGGGTTTAGGGTTTAGGGTTTAGGGTTTAGGGTTTGGGGTTTAGGGTTTGGGGTTCAAGGTGTAGGGTTCAGGGTCTAGGGTTTAGGGTTTTAGGGAGTGCAGGTTTTGCAGGGGGTTGAGGGTGTAGGGGTTGGGGCTTTATTGCGAGCCTCTGATTGAACTCAGAGGGGATGGGCAATTCTCTAAAGTGTGGGTCTTTCTTCGGGGTGCCTGGTAGAATGCGAAACCCTGCATTTCGGGTTCCCTCCATAGGGGGGAGGTTACCATGAATGTTTAAACAAACCAACAGATCACGACCAGAGAGGGTGACTTTGAAGGGAACCCTGTAAACCCCAAACCCCAAACCCTAAACCCTAAACCCTAAATCCTAAACCCTAAGCCCTAAACCCGAATTTGTTTTTTTGACTTGAAAGTTGCTCAAGCTATCCGTTTCGCATGGTAGCTGATCTTAAGTTCCCCTCGCCGCAACCCAGGGCTTTGGGGTTTGGGGGCGCTTTTGGGCCTTGGCGAACCCTACACCCTAAACCCTAAACCCAAAACCCTAAACCCTAAACCCAAAACCCAAAACCCTAAACCCTAAACCCTAAACAGCCCCAAGGCGACCGCAGGCGCAACGCGCAAGCCCGAAGTTAGAAACTCCTACTGGCTTCTTTTTTTAAGGGTACTTGGGCATTTCCCAAAATAGGGGGCACCCCTTGTATACCCTAAACCCTAAACCCTAAATCCTAAACCCTAAACCAATAGAGTAGACTCTCCTTAAAGGGACCCCCCCCCCCAAAAAAAAAAAACAAAAAAAAAAACGGTACCCCTATGGTCGGAAACTCCCACTTAAGTTCGGTTACCACAGGAAGGAGACCGTGCTCCTTTGCTGCTCTTTACCATGGGTCAACCCTGTTCCTTACTGTTGGTTAGTAGGGAATGAGGGGATGAGGTACTCTACATAATCCCTTAAAGGGTATCTATAGGGGGATATAGGGTGCATCATTCCCTCACTCCCTGCTAACCAACAGTAAGTTTCTGGAACCAGAGCCCAGCAGACTGAGGTTGGAGCACCGGCCGGGGCCCCTGCGCTTTCAACCAGGGCCCTGAACCCTGAAAGCCCAACACTTTGAAAGCCCAAATCCTAAGCCCCCCCCAAAGCCCTAAGCCTCAAGAAACCCAAGTCCTAAGAGCCCCCCCCCCCCCCCCCCCCCCCAACAACCCTAAAGACTTCATAACCCGAATGCCCGAACACTCGAGAAACCCCAAAGCCCTGAGCCAGAGATGACGCCAAGATTAAGCGAGGGGGGGGTTTCAGGAGGGGTAGGTACCTCGGGAACCTTACGGGACCTTAGGGAGGAGTGGGGAGTATTAGGGAACCTTGGGTGACACAAGCCCTTGCATCCTAAACCCTAAACCCTAAACCCTAAACCCTAAACCCTAAACCCTAAACCCTAAACCCTAAACCCTAAACCCTAAACCGGCTAAACCCTAAACCTTAAACCCTAACCCTAAACCCTAAACCCTAAACCCTAAACCCTAAACCCTAAACCCTAAACCCTAAACCCTAAACCCTAAACCCTAAACCCTAAACCCTAAACCCTAAACCCTAACCCTGAACCCTACACTCTAACACAAGAGGATGCCAGCCGCCCAATCGGGGCCTCTCAGGTCACAAATTGCCCACCTCCTTCGGAGAGCGTCATGTGGATTGACAAGAGGCGGCTGGGGCCCTCCGCTGATCCGCTGCTTGGTTTGGGGTTTAGGGTTTGGGGTTTGGGGTTTAGGGTTTAGGGTTTGGGGTTGAGGGTCTAGGGTCTAGGGTTTAGGGGTCAGCAGCTCCTGTACTAGCTTTCACCAGTCAAGCAGCTTTTCAAGCGACAGGAAGTACCCACCCTCCCAGAGAATCAAAACATTGAATGCAAAGGTTTGTTTTTTCATCAGCAAGCCCTGTCCCCCAACCTCACTCCGTCATGGCGCGCTCCATCCCTCCTTCGAAGCACTCAGTCGGCCCCTCTTTTCGCTACTTCGAGCCGATCCCCACCCCACCCTAGAACCAACCGGACATTGGTCCGCATTAACCAAAAGACCTAATTTTGTTGACCTCGTGCTTTTGTTTTTCCCCACCCCAACCTCAGATGAGAAAGAATAGGGGGGGGGGTGTCGAAGCCCTCATCTGCCCCAGACCTAGCGTTTCGCCCAGAATGTGGGGGGGTTTTCGGGGGGGGTTGGGGGGGGAGGGGGGTTGGGGTGGGGGGCGGGGGGGTTGGGGGGTCTGACCTTGAACTGGACCTTGCCCACGAAAGAATGGACCTTGCCCACGAACACCACTAAGGTTCAAACATCATATAGCAAGAGAGGTTGAGGGTTTAGAATTTAGGGTTTAGGGTTTAGGGTCCGGGTTCAGGGTCTAGGGGTTAGGGGCGAGGAGGTGCACACCTGCTGTTACTGTCTGCCTCGTTGCAGGCAGAACCCACACCCCGCCGACGTACAGGCCGGATCCCTTTCAAATCCCCCGATCCAAAGTGCAGGGAATCAAGGGCGAAGCTTCGCTGGGAGCCTTGTGAATGCGTTCCCTCGCAAGGCAGAGCATCAACGAATTTTTGGAGAGATGGCATGTGCCCCAGGTTGCTTTGGATGCTTGGATGCAGGTTCGTTTAGGGTTTAGGGTTTAGGGCTTAGGGCTTAGGGCTTAGGGTTTAGGGTTTAGGGTTGAGGGTTTAGGGTTTAGGGTTTAGGTTCAGAGATATGTTCTTGTCCGCCAGACTCAACGACCATCGTCCAGGCAAGCATGAGGCCGTAGCGCAAGAGAGAACGTTAAACCTTAAACCCTCAACCCTGAACCCCTGAGCCCTCAGGCTTTTCGGGTAAGGCGACGCTGCTACGACGAATGAGGGGTAAAACCTCAGAACCGAACCTTACACCCCAAACCCTTCACCACCTTCCCCGAAAGCGTGGCGTGATATGTCGCCCGGCCATGGCGCGCGCGTGCCGGCCGAAGACTGCAGAGAGGGCCCAGGCCGGCAATTCCCTGACGGACCTCAGGGTGGTGTGAGGGGCTTAGGGGGCTTGGAAGGGTTTGGAGGGGTTTATATTATTTTTTTTAGGGGGGTAGTTGTTGAATTAAAAGGTTTAGAGGTCTACTTTTGGGGCTTGGTTGCGTAGTTTGGGCTGAATGTTGAGCGCATAGGGTGGCTTTGGGCCTTCAACTTGAGGCAAGCGGGCCCGAGTGGACGGGAGCCTCGATGATGATGCGCCTTGGTGTCAGCAGAGGGAAGAATCCGTGAGAGGTCAGAAGCCCTGCGCCCTAAAGCCTAACCCCCCGAAGGCCTCCACCCTCCTCTGCATCATCGACCGCTGTACCTCATGGGGCCTAAACCCTTACACACCCCTGCAGCACAAACCCCTGAACCCAACCAAGCCCTCACCCTTGAGAGCCCTTGGGAAATTGCGTAGCATTTACTCCCATGTTGGGTTTGAGGGGTGTCTGAACCTGCAAACCCGATATCGCCAAATCCCATAACCCCCCTCCACCCCACATCTCAAAAAATGTACATATGAGTATGAATAAGAAAACAGTGTATGTATGTATACATATTAGAGGTTGTTCTAAAGTGTGGGTTCAGGGCTTAGGGTTTAGGGGTCAGGTGACCCTTAACGAGAAGGAAAGATTGCGCATTGATTGTTCAATCCTAAGCCCTTAAGCACCGGAGATGCCAGTTTCCTCCCGTCCCCCTAGTATAACCCCCCTACCCTAGAATGGGAGGAGTATTTTAAATTAGGGAGTAGGGTGGGCCTTGATCTTAGGGCGAGGGGATTGCTCCACGAGGCTGCCGCCCTTCTAAGACCCCCGCGGCTGGGCTGCCCCGTGGGCGCGCTGGTCTGCGAGGTAGGGGTTGAGGGGTTGGGATGTTCCCCCTTATACTAGCAGTCCTTAATAGGGATTATAGTACCCCCTGTTTATAATCCCGATTTTGTTTTAGTATAAGGGGGAACATCCCAAGGCTTAGGGCTTAGGGGTTGAGAGGTTGAGTAGGCTGTTCCTTGAAAGGGCTCTGACATATGGGCCCTTGGGTTGCAGAGGGTATAGAAGGGGTCCTTTTAAGGGCCCATATCAACGCAGAGGTTCAGGGTTTTGGGGTTTAGGCTTTTAAGGAACATCGGCTTTAGGGTCTTGAGGCTGAGGGCTTCGGGTTTGGGGGTTTGGGGTGGTGAGGTCTTGGAGTTTCGGGATTCGGGGTGCAGTGGTTCAGAGTTAGGGACGGGAGGACGGGGAGGAGAATCTCGATGATGCCTTGAGCATGTCAGAGGATTGAGCACGAGGAGCTGGGTGAGTTGTATCGGAGATTGGGGGTTCAGGGGTCTGAGGCTTAGGGTTTAGGGCTGGGGGCTCTTCCTAAAACCAACCCGCATGCCCTCAGCCCTATGGCCAAAAACCCCAAACCCTAGACGCCAATCGTTGAAGACCCATGTTCGATCAATTCATCCCCAAACCCAAAACCCCAAAGCCCTAAAACCCAAAACCCTGAACCCTGAACCCTCAGTCCTAGACCCTCAACCCTAAAACCCCAAAACCCCAAAACAACCCCTCTCTAAACCCTAAACCCTAAGCCCTAGACCCTAAACCCTAAACCCTAAACCCTAAACCCTAAACCCTAAACCCTAAACCCTAAACTCTAAACCCTAAAGCAAGCCCTTATCATCACCTATGCGAAGGTGGCTCAGCTCCAGCGCGTCTTCGCGGCCCTTCGGGGCCTGGGCTGGGCGCGGCCGAAGGCGGTGGCCGCATTAGCTCCGCATTTGCAGCGTAGGGTTTGGGGCTTAGGGCTTAGGGTTTAGGGTTTAGGGTTTGGGGTTCGGGGTTTGTTTGGGGTTTGGGGTTTGGGGTTTGGGGTTTGGGGTTTAGGGTTTTTGGGTCTAGGGTTTAGGGTTTAGGGTTTAGGGTTTAGCGTGTAGGCTTTCTAGTAAACCCTTAGACCCTACGCTCTGTTGGTTTTTGGGGTGTAGGGTCTGTGACCCTTCAGTCCTAAGCCCAAGCGCCTGCAGAGGCGGTCCGGGACTACCAGGGACGCAAAGCCGTCCACTTGAGCATCGAAGGTGGCTGGGAGTCTGGGGATGAATCTGGGGATGAAAGCCCTGAAAGCCACAAAGCCCAAACCCAAGGGTTGAACCTTTAAGGTTAGGCGGGTTGGAGGGAGAGATTCAAAAGGGTTGGGGCCGGGGGGGGGGGAGCTTGAGGAGCCTAATCCCTAAACCCTAAACCCTAAACCCTAAACCCTAAACCCCAAACCCTAAACCCTAAACCCAAACACTAAACCCTAAACATTAAACACTAAACCCTGAACCGGTTTAAGGGCGTCTGGCGAGTGCTCAGGCGCAGCGCTCCTCGGCGCTGGCGAGGCACGGGGCGCATGGCTTCCCATCGGGCGCGAAGCCATTAAGGAACACAAGCCCTGAAAGTTCATATGACTGTTAGTGGGCGTTTAGGGTTTAGGGTTTAGGGTTTAGGGTTTAGGGTTTAGGGTTCCGTGTGGTTCCTTATAAAAAGTTCTGAGTGTATCTATGGGGTCCTGCTTCATGAGGAGTTGCCAAAAAGAGTTTGGGTTTGGGAGAACCACTCTGGGTGGCCCTTACTAAGGGTCTAGGGTTTAGGGTTTAGGGGTTCAGGGAGGGGATCATGATCTGCTAAAGGGGTGCCTGGATTTTTGGGGCCCCCTATAGAAGACTAGCATAGTCAAGTTAACATTCAAGTTTATGATCTAGCAGCATAATACATCGGGATCCTCATGTAGTTTAGGGCTGAGGGCGTGAGGTGTTGAACACTCAAGAGGTTCGGGGTACCAGTAGTAGGTTAGCATGCCCTAAACCCTAACCCTAAACAGCCTGTAACGAGGATTGCTGGGTTAGCCCTGCCCCCCCCCCCCCCCGCCCTCAAATGTAATTGGGTTTTAGGCTTTAGGGTTTAGGGCTTAAAGCGACGGTTAGATTCCTAGAGAACCAGCTTGTCACTGCTCGATAGGACCTTCGGACATGTTGAATTCTCCCTGTTCGAGACACAGACTAAGACCATTTTCTCACAGGGTTTTGGAGGGTGGGTTTAGGGTTTAGGGTTTAGGACCCCCTAAAACCTGGAACCCCGAAGCCCGCAACACTTAAGGCCCCTGCAGGTCCCTCCCGAGCTCGCGGCGCTGCGGAGTGAGGGCCAGGTGGAGTTCGTGGAAGGAGCGGGGCCAGGAGGGTTGGGGTGTAGGTTGAGGGCTTTAGTGTGTAGGGGTGTAGGGCTTAGGGTTTAGGGCTAGGTTGTAGGGGTCAGGCTGAAGGTTGAGGGTGTGAGGTTCAGTGTTGGCGAGGTAAGGAAGAAGGAGGCGCGCGGCCTCTGCGTCCCCATGCTCCTGCGTTTGCTTCTGCTCAAGGGCTGACCGGGCGCCTGGTCGATATACACTTTTGGGGTGGAGGATTCGCCGCACCATCGCCGTAGGCACAACAGCTGGGGGCACCCGAGCTGGACCCAGGATCAAAATACCGCAAGGCACAGACGTGAGTGTGGAAGCCATGGGGCAATCCTGCTGCTTTGGAAGGGAGAAGTCCGAATTAGATTTTGCATCGAGCTCAAAATTTGCCCCGAGACCGGACACTTGTGTTATACGACAATCGGGGTCAGAAACTGAGGGCTTCTACGCTTCACGCAGCTAATGGCCTGCAGGCTTGGAGGCTTGGAAGCTTCAGCCCACCCGACCACCCTGGGACTTTCTGCTTCGCCTTACACTCATGAAGGAGGATTTCTTGCGCGGAGTAGTATATTCACTGATAATCAGGGAGGGTATTTCGGAGCCATCTTAGTGATACCTAATGATTTCAAGAAGTGTAGCAGAAATGTTTGTTTCTGCGGGCTGGGCCATTGCAAATCTAGATTCCAGGTGGTGGCTGCGTTTCTCCTCGCGCAAGTGCTGTTGGCTGCGCGCGGGCAGGCGACTTATAAAGTGCGCCTGACGCCGGGTTTCTTTGATGAAGTCGGTCGCCCATGCGCGGTGGACAACAGCTGGTTGCCCCTCTTGCAGCTGGAGCCTGCTTTGCTTAAGAAGATGGCGCGCGGCAAAGTGCCCTACTATCACCGTGGTGTGAAAGTCCCGGCAGCTTCCTGTTTGCAACACAGCGTTTGCCATTCCAATAAACGTTACTTTACTTTGAACGTCCCAACACTCTGGGTTTGGGCGCTCCGGATGTTCTGGCGATACTCTGGAGACTCTGGTTGGACACTCTAAGGACTTTCATGGGGATAGCTTGGGACGGGCACTTTGGGATGGGCACTCCGGGGTTTCTCTGGGGGTTGCTTCGGATGTTTTGCTTAGTGCTGCGCCAGGCAAAGATGTCTCTTCGGATGTGATGCGTACCGATGTGCTAAGTGAAGATGTCGCTTCGATTTGTTTTGCTTAGTGCACACGCGTACGCAGGCAACGATGCGAGCAAGAAAACAAGTATGCACGGCGAGGCGCATACAAGAATACACACACGAGTAAGCTGGTTGAACAAACAATGCAGGACGATGCGTCTAGTGTGCTGCGAAGGCTACGAAGAAGTTGGTCAGAGATTTTGTGAACTTGGAGTCGGAGGAACAGCAGCAAGTTCTGAGCTCTCTGCCGATGTACTTCACCCACGGTCAGCAGGCGGGACAGTTTGTGCTGAAGTTCAGGCTTCGCGCGCGAATTGTCACATGCTACACAGGGGGAGCGCGTGGCGCAGAATGGCCATGTCAGTTACAACATTGCATGAGCGACCGCCTGGATGGGGGGAATTTTGCAAGGACGGTTGCGCAACAACAAACTCGTTGTCTGAGTGTGTGTCGGGCAAGAATCTTAATTAAGTTGCAATGATGATTGGACATACGCTGCTTTTGATGCGCATGCATCTGTGCATGGCATGACAAGGCCAACACAGATGCACCGGGCAATGCGGAGGCGTGGGCAAGAGTCGTTTTTGTAAGCGTTCTTCTGTCCGGAGTTATGTGCTGCCGACACACAGCTGCATGATAGTTGTGACAGGTACCCTTTGACTGCAATGCCTTTGTGTCCTGTCACGATCAGCTGTTGTTTGGTACGTTGTACTCCAGGATGACACCTCAAGAATAAGTTTTGGGGCAGGCTGTCTCTACCACGTGGATTGCGGGCAAGAGCAGCAGCAGCAGCGCCGTTGTCCAAAGGTTATGCGGAGGGTGGGAACTGCCAACGAAGGCAAGTGCTTCTGTTGTTGAGCGCTACTGTTTCCGTACCCTGGGGTTCGCAGGTGTACCAGCTCGCTTGGAGCGGGTTTTGTGCAAAGATGATGGCGTTTACGATACGGATGTGCCCTTGCGCACATCCCCTTTTGCTAAGGACACCGATGCCACCAAAGAGGAAGTCGGATCTAGTCAGTTCTGCTATATATGCCTCATGTGTACAGGTCACGCAACAATCGTTGCAGACTGCACGTGCAGGCGCACAGTCGGCTTCAGCTTCTCGCTACGCCTACTCGGGCTAAGCGCATGGGCGCACAAGGGTGGTCGGGTGAGCTGAAGCTTCCAAGCCTCCAAGCCTGCAAGGCCCTTAGTCGCGTGTGTCGACCTGTTCCCCGCAGTTTCTGACCGGGATCGCCTTAGTAAGAGCTGTGAGCTCATACTCTCCACCAGGCCCTTGGCCTGGCACAGCATGGCGTTCCTCTCAGTCTCCTCAGCGCTGTTGGCGACGGTCCAAGCCATGTCTCCATGGATGCGCCGGGGTCGCGCGGGCGGTTTCCGCAAGGTGTTTCAATGACGGGGCTGTGCAACTCGCAAAAGTTTTCACTGGTCTTGTTCTCCGCTGGCCAACTTGCGCGTCGGCCAATCTCTTCCCAAACAGGGAAGCTTTTTAAGTTGAAAAACCTAATCTGAAGCCCGACTTTGAAGAGCAGGCTGAAGAAAGATGCTGGTTCATCGGTTTAGCCTGTGACGCGAGCAGGAAGGGTGAAGATGGCAGCTTCTGATTGAGGGATGAGAGGGTTTTGGAGTCAGCTTTTTCGGGTTTAGGGCGGGTCTTTTTTGTGTGCGGCTTTGGGGTTTGAATTTTTGGGTTTAGGGTTTTCTTGGCGGTGCGGTAGATGTTCAACCTCTGGCGTTCATCAGCAGTCACCTCATGAAGGCATCTCGCAATGGGCAAAGGTACACATCTCGGGAATTTGTATGGGGTCGTAGGATCACAACCAGTAGTTGCGGCTTTAAATTCTAGGTTGTGAGCCACTCCGCGGCAAGCATGTGCTGCTCTCGTCTGCGAAACGCTTGTTCCAGCAAGCCCGGAACCCCTGAACCCCCCAGCTCTGAACTTGAAGATTTCAGGGCCTCACGCTGCAAGGCCCCTGAAAACCCCGAAGCCGCCGAACCCCCTGACTGAGCCCTAAGCCCCTCAGGCCCCAAAGCCATAAAGCCCAAGAAGGGGTTTGATTTTAACGCTACGCCGCTACGCGACCCGCCTCGGCCTCTCCCAGCGCAGCCCCTTGTGCATGTGGAGTCCGCAACCAGGGGGCGGGGGGTTTGTGCATGTGGAGTCCGCAACCAGGGGGGGGGGGGGGGGGGGGGGGGGGGGGGGGGGGGGGGGGGGGGGGGGGGGTGGGGGGGCCCAGCCCAAACTGGCCCCGCCTTCCGCGCACGTGCTGGCTAGGAGCCAAAAAAGTGGCAAAGTGGGCAGGGGCGTTGGGGAGGGGATTAGAGGTGAGGTGCCTGCTTTGTGCTAAGCATACACCTACGGCCCAAGGCCTCGGCGGAGTAGGGTTTAGGGTTTAGGGTTTATAGGGTTTAGGGTTTAGGGGTTATAGGGTTTAGGGTTTAGGGTTTAGGGTTTAGGGTTTAGGGTTTAGGGTTTAGGGTTTAGGGTTTAGGGTTTAGGGTGTAGGTTAGGGTTTTAACACCCCTAAGCCCCTGAACCTGAAACTCTAAACCTAGCCGGGCGCGAGGCTTGCGCTTGGGGAAGCAGCCCTATGCGGGCCCCCACTCTGCGGCAGAGGAGGTCCCGTCCACCGCCGAGGTGCCCTGTTTAGGGTTTAGGGTTTAGGGTTGAAGATTTAGGGTTTAGGGTTTAGTGTTTAGGATTTAGGGTTTAGGGTTTTGGGTTTAGGGTTTAGGGTTTAGGGTCCGGGTTTAGGAGTCTTCTGGGGTTGACACGGGCTTCATATTCGGGTTGGCGACTTTGGGGTTGAGGGTTTGGGGCAACCGTAAACCATCTTAAGCCGGAAGCCCTAGATCCCAAACGTGTAAAGGGGGGCCTCACGGGCTTCGGGGCTTAAGGATGAGAGTGTCAGGACTTAAGAGGGATTGGGGTTTAGGGCTTCAGAAAGGGTTGAGGGTTTAGGGTTCAGGGTTTAGGGTTTTGTTGTGCTGTCTGGGCGTTTCGGAGTAGTTAAGGGTTTGAGGATTCTAGGGTTTCAGGGTTTCGGGTTCAGGGTGCAGGGGTTAGGGTTTAGGAATCAGGGTTTGAGGATTCTGAGCATTGAGGGCTGGGTTCAGGCCTAACCACCAAACCCTAACCCAAACCCTAAGCCTCAGCACAGCTGTGGATGTTGTTGGCTCGCCCGGCAAGGCTAGCTTCACATTCATCGAACTCTTCGCCGGAATTGGAGGCTTGATGCTGTGCCTTAAGGACCCAAAACCTACTTTTCTGTAAGTTCTCTTTACTAACGCCCCTCAGAGGATTCTTGGGTAACCTACCAAAAAATAGGTTTCGGGTTCATAAGGTAGGGTTCACTCCTTCGGTTCTCGGTTCTAGCTTATCATGCTGCGACTTAAAAGGTGCGCGCCTCCAAACCATGCTCAAGAGCGGTATTTGACTGCGCTCGAATAGCACGCGCCCTGCATTACGAAACCCACTCCTGGATGTCTTCAATATGGGCCATTGGCACATGGTCGTCCGAAACGCCTCTGCCTATGGCCTTCCTCGCGCAAACGTCCTAAACCCTAAACCCCAAATCCCAAACCCTAAACCCCAAACCCCAAACCTTAAACCCTGAACCCTAAACCCTTAACCCATCCAACCCCTAAACCAAACCCCTGCAAAGTTTGCAAAAGGTTCGCCCTCCAAGCCCCTGTTCAAGCCTTCAACCCGAAGCTTCAACCCCCTAAACCCCAAAATTGTGCAGACCCTAGGCCCGAAACATCCCTACACCCGGGCCAGGCTTCCGGCGCGCGCTGGAGCCGCTGGGCGGCCGCTGCGTTTTCGCGTCGGAGATCGAAGCTCGGGCCCGCAGTTCGACCCCACGGGCCCTAAACCTTAAACCCTAAACCCTAAACCCTAAACCCTAAACCCTAAACCCTAAGCCCTAAACCCTAAACCCTAAACCCTAAACCCTAAACCCTAAACCCTAAACCCTAAACCCTAAACCGCAAACCCTAAACCGCAAACCCTAAACCCTAAACCCTAAACCCTAAACCCTAAACTCTAAACCCTAAACCCTAAACCCTAAACCCTAACCCCTAAACCCTAGACCCTAAAGAGCTTTGCACTTCCCAGGAGCTTTCAGAGCCTTCAGAAACCCTGAACTCTAAGAGTCCTAAAAAGCCTTAAGAGGGGGTCAGGGTTTTGGGGGTTTAGGGTGGGTTTAGGGTTTAGGGTTTAGGAACCCTAAACCCTAAACCCGAAACCCGAAACCCTAAACCCTAAACCCTAAACCCTAAACCCTAAACCTTAAATCCCGACTCCTCAGGCCCAAGCCCTGAGTCTCGAGCCTAGGGGTTCAGGGTTTAGGGTTTAGGGTTTGGGTTTTGGGTTCAGGGTTTAGGGGTTTGCGTTGCAAGGACGTCGACTGCCAGGAGGCGTACGCAGCGAACTTTGGATCTTCCAACCTGTACGGCGACATCACCATGGTTCCGTCAGAGGCCGGTATGACCACCCTCATAGTCACATGATAGAATCCTAGACAGGGTTCAGGGTTTAGGGTTTAGGGTTTAGGGTTTAGGGCTGAGGGTTTAGGACTTCTTAGGGTAGTTACATGGTCCCTGAAAATGGGCCCTTTCCCCTTGATATGGGCCTTTGATATTGGAAACATTATACACCCTATGCAGCCCAAGGGCTTATATTTCAGAACCCTTTAAGAAAGGTATCAAGGGGCCCTGTGGCGAATCCCGTGCGGTCACGTGGGAAGAGGATGCCTGACGCTTGCCTGAAGCGCAGGACTTGCCGCGGCATGACCTGCTGACCGCAGGCGGGGGTTTAGGTTTAGGGTTCTAGGGTTTAGGGTTTAGGGTTTAGGGTTTAGGGTTTAGGGTTTAGGGTTTTAGGGTTTAGGGTTTAGGTTTAGGGTTTTAGGGTTTAGGGTTTCCACCCTCTCCAGAATGCCCTGAAACGCAGAACCCAAGCCCTGAACACCAGACTCCAGAACCCTTTACCACTTCAAGCTTCATTCCCTAAACCTTACACCCTAAACCCTGAACACCAAACTCCAAACCCTACCTCCCTAAACCCCAAACCCGCCCTAAACCCTAAGCCCTAAACCCTAAACCCTAAACCCTAAACCCTAAACCCCAAACCCCAAACCCCAAACCCTCCGACGCCAGCGCATCGCCCAAGAGGCTTTCCATGCCAGCCTTTCAGCCGCCGCGGCGAGCGGCGCGGCTTCGATGACGCGCGTGGCGAGCTTTTCTTTGAGTGCCCTGGCTGCTGCAGAGGTAATCTGGGACCCGGAGTAGGCCCTTATTTCCCTTTTTTTCTAGGGTTGGGGTTCACTGATAATCCCCTTAAACCCCAAAAGGGTACACTGTTTATTCCTAGGTTACTCCTGGGTCTAGAAATCCCTGAGGCGATCGTAAGGGCCGTGCAGGGCAACAACAGTTGTAACTGGTTATAGCCCGAATTCGCACTATAAGGTTTATGAGAGCTACCCCTGTGGCCATACCTCTACTGGGTTCTGTCGAGGCTTGAATATTGGGGGGAGGGGAACGCAATAGCGCTTCGGGCTGTTCAATGCTTGCTGAGCACACGATCCCCTAAACCCTAAACCCTAAACCCTAAACCCTAAACCCTAAACCCTAAACCCTAAACCCAAAACCCTAAACCCTAAACCCTAAACCCTAAACCCTAAACCCGTTGCTCCAGCGCCGTGCAAACCCCAAACTCTATGCCGCCTCGAGCCAAGGATTGTCCGCGCCCTGGACGTTTGTCGCCCCAGGGCTTTCTTGCTGGAGAATGTGTGGAACATGCAGCCGCCTGGCAGCGAGCAGGACCTGCTCTTAGTTTAGGGTTTAGGGTTTAGGGTTTAGGGTTTAGGGTTAGGGTTTAGGGTTTAGGGTTTAGGGTTTAGGGTTTAGGGTTTAGGGTTTAGGGTTTAGGGTTTAGGGCTTAGGGCTTAGGGCTTAGGGTTTAGGGTTAGGGTTGCTTGGAGGTTCAGGATACTTCTTACCCCAATAGCAACTGTACTTATAGCCCAATTATAACATCATAACCATGTTAGGGCACGTAAGGGGCTTAAGAAGTGGGTTGTAAGTACAGTCATAATTGGTTAAGAAGTACCCTGAACCTCCAAGTAGGACCTGCAGTCGCAGGCAGCACGGGCCCAAAACACCCCCCAAGGTTCCTCGACGGCGGGCACTGGGATGGAGATCCTTCCAAGTGCGTGAGCGGTGCGCCACACCCAGCTTCGATCGAGGCGGGCTCCCGGCTTTCTCCCCGTGCCCAGGCGAGGTCTACGCCAGGGTCGTGCACTGCCTTGAGGAGATCGGCTACACCGCAAGGGCCTTAAAGGCCCTAAGGGCCTTAAAGGCCCTAAGGGCCTTGAAGGGCTGAGGGTCTCGCTTCCGGCCCGACTTGGGCGGCGTCTCAGGTCCAGACGGAGCAGCTGAATGCCGAGGGCTGGGTGCCGCAGAAGCGCGCGCGGCTGTACTTCGTGGGCATCAGGTGCGCGTTGGGGCCCACCAGGGAAGCCCAAAAATCCTGACCACGCACCCTGCAAGTCTCAAGCCTAACGCCTACATCGAAAGAGACAGGCCATGCTCCTATCCGCCTTCCCTTTCATTTGTGAACTGGCTTGCTTTCTTTCGGGTTTGTGATGTTTGTGGGGGTTCGCTAACGGGTCCTTTAAAGTTTACCCTCTGCAACGTTTACATAAGGCGATGGCTGAAGTTCACTCACCCTTGTCTGCAAATCATCGCTCAGTTTTTGGGTTTGGTATAGTATAGAATTCCAAACCGGACCGAACGAAGACATGTCCAAGCAGTGCACTTTAGGTAGATCCTCATCATCCGAGTGTTCAGAAATTAATTTCCATTCATTTCCATAATACAGACCAACATCTTGGAATCCATAGCATTAGAACCCTAAACCCTAAACCTTAAACCCTAATCCCTAAGCCCCAAGAGGTGGACACCTCATCGTCGGAGATCCCCTTGCATCCCGCCGCAGGTAGAAGCTGAAAGCGTGCTAGACTCGAAAGCAGCCCCACAGCCCTGATGCCCGACGAACCCTGCTCTTGAAATTTGGGGTTTAGGGTTTAGGGTTGCAGGGTGTTTACGGGTTTTAAGGTTTAGGGTTTTAGGGTTTCGGGTTTTAGGGTTTTAGGTTTTTTTGGTTTTAGGGTTTTAGGGGTTTAGGCTCTTAGGGTTTTAGGGTTTTCGGGTTCCCCAAAGCCTAAGCCCCGAAGCTCTGGCCCCGCAACATCCCCCAAAAAACGAGCCACAAGAAGACCCTTGAGCGCCTGCAGGCGGGACCACCGGGAGGCTTTTGCGCGCTTCCGTTGGCCCGTGGCCCCAAGCGAGCGCCGCATCAGGGACAGCAGGGTGTGAGTGAGCGAGCGAGTGATCGAGTGAGTGAGCGAGTTTTAGGGTTTTAGGTTTAGGGTTTAGGGTTCTTTCGGGGCTTCAGGGGCTTAGGGGCACCCATGGGATCTGCAGGGACTGTCACTTCAGCCCTGAAGCCCCCCCTAATCCCTTAAACCCTACGCCTCATTCTCGGAGATCCCCGAACCCTAAACCGATAGCCCTCAACCCCAAACCCGAAAGCCGAAACCCTTAACCCTAAAATCCTGGGGGCAAGTCGGACTGCATCCATAAACCCTAAACCCTAAACCCTAAATCCTACTACCGACAGGGCTTGGGCTCCCCATACTTCGGAACCCTAACTCCTAAACCCTAAACCCTAAACCCTAAACCCTAAGCCCTAAGCCCTAAACCCTAAACCCTAAACCCTAGATCGCAGGAGGTGCTGGAGTCGGTTGGCAGCGAAGAGGCCCTGCGCAGCGAGCTGACGGAGGCGCAGTGGGCAGCTCCCTGGCCTGCCTTGTTGTCTAAAGGCCTTGCGGCAAGGGTCGGCCTGGCCGTCTGAAAGCTGAAACTCGGGTTTGGGTTTAGGGGGTTTAGGGAGCGCAGGGAGTCGGGACGTAATAAGTAAAGAAAGAAGAAGAACAAGAAGAAAGGGAATAGGAAGAACAAGAAGAAGAAGAGAAAGAAGAATAAGAAGAAGAAGAAGAAGAAGAAGAAGAAGAAAAAGAAGAAGAAGAAGAAGAATAATAATAATAATAAGAAGAAAAATAAATAAGAAGAAACATAAGGATAAGAAAAGAAAGAATAACAAGAAGAAAGGGAAAGGAAGAACAAGAAGAATAATAAGAAGAAAAATAAGAAGAATAATAAGACGAAACAGAAGAATAGTAATAACAAGAAAAAGAAGAAGAAAAAATAAAAACAAAAACGAATAAACAACAGAAAACAAAGAAGAAGAAGAAGAAGAAGAAGAAGAAGAAGAAGAAGAAGAAGAAGAAGAAGAAGAAGAAGAAGAAGAAGAAGAAGAAGAAGAAGAAGAAGAAGAAGAAGAAGGAAGAAATACACCCTTAACTCAACACTTAGGCAGTGCAGAAGAGTTCCACCTGGACTCGCGGTGGGCCAAGCCTGCGGTTCGCAAAGCTGGATGGCGTGGCTGGAACCTTAACAGCCGCTCTGAAGAGGAAAAGATGGGCTTTTTGTAGGGATTACAGTACCCCCCTAAACCCTAAACCCTAAACCCTAAACCCTAAACCCTAAACCCTAAACCCTAAACCCTAAACCCTAAACCCCCCTAAACCCTAAACCCTAAACCCTAAACCCTAAACCCTAAACCCTAAACCCTAAACCCTAAACCCTAAACCCTAAACCCTAAACCCTAAACCCTAAACCCTAAACCCTAAACCCTAAACCCTAAACCCTATGAAGGGCTGCTAGTATAAGGTGGAACATCCCAAGGTTTCTTTAGGGTTTTAGGGTCCTTGTGAAGTTAAGTAAAGTAATTAGCCAGACATGACAAGGTCGACGGGGTTGCTCTTAAGGATGTGATATAAGATTTCTTGAATGGCTGTACAAACTCCTTATTCTGGTAACTTAATTGGGGCAGCAGCACCCTAAACCCTAAACCCTAAACCCTAAACCCTAAACCCTAAACTCTAAAACCCTAATCCCTAAACCCTAAACCCTAAGCCCTAAAACCCTAAACCCTAAACCCTAAACCCTAAACCCTAAACCCTAAAAACCCTAAACCCCAGCCCGGTCTCAGAAGGCCAGCTACAAGTCCTCCTACGCTTGCACCGCCGAGCTGCTCAGCCCAAGCGATGCGCAGCTGTCGCGCCCGCGGTTCTTCACCAGGATCTGGCGGTTTAGGGTTTAGGGTTTAGGGTTTAGGGTTTAGGGTTTAGGGTTTAGGCTTCATTGACTACAGGCTTCGGGTTTGGGGCTTTGGGGTTTGGTGTTTAGGGCTTTGCCCTCCTCAAAGTCTTGACGGCAGGCGGGAGTTCGCGCGCTTGATGGGCTTCCCTGAGAACCATGCCTTTGCCAACCCGCATAGTGACCAGCCCGCACCTGGCTGCCTTCGCAGAAATGTCATTCGACTGAGGCGCAGCCCAAAATTCCTGCACCCCAGAAGTGATGTTCCCCTCGCAGTCCCGCAGAGGTGAAAACCGAGCCTACCACCAGCTTGGAAATGCGGTGTGTCCGCCAGTCATCGCCGCAATCGCCCGACTCTGGGCAGCAAGTGGCCGAGTTGGATCTCGTGTGCCTGCCCGCCTAAACCGACGGGAAATCCCCAAAACCCAAACCCCAACAATTGAGGGTTTAGGGTTTAGCGTTTAGGGTTTAGGGTTTAGGGTTTAGGGTTTAGGGTTTGGGTTAATCTCCACACCCTAAACCGCACTCAGGCAACCTACTTCAGGCGCTGGGTGTGCCCGATCCGCCTGAGAGTGCTGCGGGTGGTCAAAAGGCTGTCCGGCGTGGGTGCGGTGCTATGGCAAAAGCCCTAAACCCTAAACACTAAACCCTAAACCCTAAACCCTAAACCCTAAACCCTAAACCCTAAACCCTAAACCCTAAACCCTAAACCCTAAACCCCCAAAATGGTTGAAGGGTTGCAGCTTGTGTTGCTTGCCAAGGCACAAAATTTGAAACAACATGGGATCCACGCTGGCCCGGCTCGCTTGGGAATCCTTTGCTTGCCATCCTGATTTTCATCGCTTCCTGATGCTGTGGTCAAAGAAGTCGCACGCAGGGTGGGGAGAAGTGAGTGCTGCACCAATAGCATGCCAGGGCGAGTACTACCAGCAAGTGGTGACTGAGATTGCCATGTTCCCGGGTGGTCAACTTGTCTTGCAACTTGGGGGGGGGGGGGGGGTGTGCCGGATGATCTGACCTGACCAGAGGCAAAGCAATTGCCTGGAGTGGATGCGTCGCTGGAACGCGGCTACACAGGTGTGCCGGCCCCACGTGCGTCACACCATCATACAGTCGTTCAAAGCCCATCGTGCCAAGCCCCTAAGCCCCAACACCCCAAAAGCCTCACCCTAAAACCAAACCCCAGCTCCGGAGCGATCAACCCCACCATGTGGCCAGCTTTCCGAATTCTTCTTCTACTCCTAAATTAAAACCCTACAACTTAAACTCTAAGCCCAGAATAAGGCCAGCATCTGGAGAAATGCCCCTGAGGGTTTGTCTACACAAGTTCCTGTAGAACCTCTCGGCTAGAACGATCTGGAAAAAGGGAGCATAATTTACGGACGAGAATATACAGGGAAACTCAAAAAACCCTCTTCTGGAGAACCCACAAACCCCAAACCCTAAACCCCAAACCCTAAACCCCGAACCCTAAACCCCCAACCCTAAACCCCAAGCCCTAAACCCCAAAACCAACCCCAAACCCAATCCCGAAACCCCCCTAAACCCCAAAACCCAAACCCAAACCTAACCAAAAACCCCAAGCCCTGAACCCAAAACCTCAACCCCAAACCCCAAACCCCCCCACCCGCATGGCGCGCGCGCGAGGACCCTTGCCACCGCCTGGGGGCCCCTTGGCTCCTGTGGCTCCGCCTGGGAACCTCGAGAGCCTGGCGGCAGGACCCGGCGCCCGTAAGCCTTGAATCCCTAAAAACCCTAAACCCTAAACCCTAAACCCTAAACCTAAACCCTAAACCCTAAACCTAAACCCTAAAAACCCTAAACCCTAAACCCTAAACCCTAGACCATAACCCTAAACCCTATGAATCCTAAACCCTAAACCCTAAACCTTGAGCTCCAACCCTCAACCCGAGACCAATCTGGGTTTCGGGTAGTGTTTTCTTGTTTTTGGGGGGGGGGGGGGGGGGGAGGAGAGGAGTGGGAGTCTCTTCCCCCTTTAGACTCCCCCCTCACGAAAGCTCAAAGCCTTGAGGACCCAGCGTTTAGGCTTTCTGTCTCGTTCTTGAGTACTGGTAGGGGTATGGGAATGTCTTCACAAGACCCACTGGCGCAGCCCAAGATGCTCTAGACCCTAAACCCTAAACCCTAAACCCTAAGCCGGGATGCCGGTGAGGAAGCATCTCGAAGAGCCGTGACTCCCCAAGAGTTGCCGCAAGCTCAGCGGCCCTAAGGGTTTGGGGTTTAGGGTTTAGGGTTTGGGGTTTAGGGTTTGGGGTTTTAGGGTTTAAGGTTTAGGGTTTGGGGTTTAGGGTTTGGGGTCTTAGGGTTTAGGGTTTAGGGTTTTAGGGTTTGGGGTTTAGGGTTTGGGGTTTAGGGTTTAGGGTTGGGGGTTTGGGGTTTAGGGTTTGGGGTCTTAGGGTTTGGGGTTTAGGGGTTTGGGGTTTAGGGTTTAGGGTTTTTAGGGTTTGGGGTTTAGGGTTTAGGGTTTGGGGTTTGGGGTTTGGGGCTTGGGGTTTTGGGGTTTTGGGGTTTAGGGTTTGGGGTTTGGGGTTTAGGACTTAGGGTTTGGGCCCTAACGCGTTGCAGGGGTTGCGCAAACATTCTCAATAGAGTATTCGTGTAATGTAGAGTAGTAGAGCAGTAGGGTAAGGAGTTACAGAGTAACAGAGCTCTGAGAATCCAGCTTTCCATTTCTTGGGACCATTAGGGTTCTTCTGGTTGGTTGTCAAAATTCTGGTCCCTTTTTGGATCCCTTTTTCCATACGGCACCTAATATTTTTTGGGGTACGTACCCCAAAAGGGATCATAATTTTGACAACCACCCTTATGAGGAAGTTAGTCTAAGTTTAGTATCGTGGGAGAGTCGCTCTTTGCATTCGCTCGATATTCAACAAAGATACAATATCATCTTCACGGATGTATGATCAAAGAAGAGAAAACGAAGAAGCTGGATTTGCAGGGCCATTTAGGACGTGGGGTGTAGGCATTTTGGGGGCTTTGGCCTGCTGAGCCATTTAGTTTTCTTCGGGATATGAGTTGGCGAACTCTAAGCCCTAAAGCCCTAAAATTCTAACACCCTAGACCCTTAAAAGCCTAAAACCCTAAACCCCAAACCCCAAACCCTAAACTCTAAACCCTAAGCCCTAAACCCTAAACTCTAAACCCTAAACCCTTAACCCCCAAAACCCTAAGGAAGAGCGGATGGAAGAGCTGCACCGCTACATTCGCAATCAGGCCCGATGCTGAAGCCAACAGCCCAGAAGGTTTTAGGGGTTTAGGGTTTAGGGTTTAGGGGTTAGGGGTTTAGGGTTTAGAAGTTAGCGGTTAGGGGTTTTAGGATTCGAGGGGTTTAGGCGTTATAAGTGTTTCGGGTCTAACACCCAAACCCGAAACTCTAAACCTGAAACCCTAAACCCCCGAAAGAACTTTCCCTTATCTGGGAATACTCCTTATTTGAGAGGTTTTTGGTCCTTTCGAAAGCCCATGAACCCTGTGCCTTATGCAAGTGCCCAAGGAGTATGGTAATCATAGGGATGGCTTACAAGCTATCAACTGTTGCAGGGCTTGCGGATGCAGGCGAACCCGAGCCTCGGAGCCCGAACCCCCAACCACAATCTTGCCTCCTTCTACGAACAGTCCTTAATAGGGATGAGAGTACCCCTATTCTAGTCCCTACTAAGGACTATTAGTATAAGGAGGAACATGCCAACCTGCAGCGCTTTCAGAATCAGAGAGATCCCCGCACGGGCGCGTGCGCCCCTGAGCCCTCCTCAGCCCCAAATCCTCAAGCCCGACGCCCGAAGCGCCCGAGCGAAGCCTTCAACTCGGAACCCTAAACCCTAAAGCCCTAAACCCTAAACCCTAAACCCTAAACCCTAAACCCTCAACCCTCAACCCTAAACCCCAAAGCCCAAAAGCCCAAACGCCCTAAAGCCCTCAAGCCCGAAGCTGCCAGGCGAACGACTTTGCCGAAGGGAAGGCGGAGTGGAGCCGCCAGCTGGCGGAGGTGTCATGCCGGAGATGCGCTGATTGCGCTGAAGATTATTGTATTGTTGGATTCTTCTATTACTCTACTATAACTACTCTTGTTATTCTTATTCTTATTACCTACTACTCTTACTGCTCTTAGTATAGTTGTTGTTGTTCTTCTTAGTATTGTTATTGCCCTTGTCTTCTGGTTCTTCTTATTACACGGATATGTTCTGATTATCGAGACATGACTAGAATGTTGTGTTGTTCTACTCTGAAGACTCTGAGAATTACGACGCTTGCTTGCCATGCCATGCCGTTGTGGAAGCCTTCCCGCCCGTATGGCACTTGCAGATTTCGGACTTCGCCCCCAGCTGCGCTGAACACCAGCAACCTGTAGCGCCGAGCCATGAAGCTTCCTGTCGTGTGCGTGCTGCCTGCCCTGGCCGCAGCAGCCTGCCCCTACATGGACCAGGCTGTGCCACCCGCAAGCAGCCTTCCCGTGGCTGTGCCGGACGCAGCGACCTATGCGGCAGCGCTCCCGAGCTTGGACATCAAGGCTCTGGAGCAAGACCTGACGCATGCCATGACTGCCAGCAAGACCTGCTGGCCTGCGGATGGCGGCCATTACGGTGGTCTCATGATCCGCCTGGCCTGGCATTGCTCCGGCACCTATCGGGACACGGATGGAAGGGGCGGCTGCTCCGGCGCCCGAATCCGCTTCCAGCCCGAGATCGGATGGATGGACAATGGCAACCTGGACAAGGCCTTGTCCCTCCTCGTCGCCATCAAAAACACATATGGTGATGCCTTGAGCTGGGGTGACCTCATCACTTTCGCGGGTACGGTCGCTGTCCGCTCCATGGGTGGACCCACTCTCCCTCACTGCTTCGGTCGCATCGACGAAAAAGATGGCGCCAACAGCGAGATCTTCGGCACCACGGCAAATTGGTCAGCGACCGGCTGCGAGACGCAAGGTGATTGCCAGAAGCCTCTGGGTGCAACCACTGTGGGTCTCATCTACGTGAATCCGGAAGGCCCCTTGGACAACGCAACCGGTCGCCAGAACCCGGATCCAGTGGCGAGCGGCGCTGAGATCCGCGAGGTCTTCGGGCGCATGGCCATGAACGACACAGAGACTGCGGCACTGATCGCCGGCGGCCACGCCTTCGGGATGTGCCATGGTCACACCAGCGGCTTCGAGGGACCCTGGACGAAGACACCAAGCTCTTGGACCTACGACTTCATCCACGGCATGCTGGAGGATGAGTGGGAGAAGGTCACGGACGCCAACACGCAAGGCCTCGTGCAGTGGAGAACTATCAACCGCACCAGCAGGCACGCCAGCACCATGCGCCTGACCTCTGACCTGGCTCTGGTGAAGGATGCAGTCTACAAGCCCATCATCGAAGACTGGGCAGCAAACCCCGAGAAGCTGGATGTGGCGTTCGCGGCTGCCTGGGACAAGCTCTTGACGTCTGGCACCACCTGGTCCACAGCGAAGCGCTGCGAGACCACTGCCACCACCACAACCAGCGTTGACAGCGTTCAGACGTCCGTCTCCACGCCAATCCGCCTTTCAAGCTTGCTGGTGCTTGGAGGCGCTTCTGCGGTGGCGCTCAGCTGA